AGAACCCACGCTGCACGGGGAGAACATGGAGACTCCACGCAGGAAGATCCCGGGTGTCCTCACCGGGATGCCAACCGGTGACCTTCTAGCTGTGAGGCGCTAACGGTGCTAACCACCGAGACACCTGCAGGCCATCTTGATTTCAGTTCTTTGTAATTTTAAAAATAAAAACAAACAATTCCTTTTCTTCTTTTTTATGAGTTATAGCTGTATGCTGTCTCATACAGCACAGTGCTGTTTGCACAGAGATGCAGGACTTTGAAAAACGTCAGTGAGTAAAAGTATGACAGGAGGAAAAAAACAGCACTTGATCCTGAGTTCATGTAAAACGTTAAACTATAAACAGCACGATGTTATCATAAGTAGTTTACAAGCAGTTGAAGGCGCTGGTTTGTAAAGTGGACATACCTCAAATTCTCCTTTCGTATACTTGGCATCAGGGACGCTCACAATCTCATCGTCAGCAAACTCTGGGAAACCCTGCAGAAGGAGGTGATGTTTTAGTTAAGATGATATTTCACACTGTGGCTCTAAATGAATGCGCAAGATGTCTCGTACGTTGAAGTGCCAGAGCGTCAGAACAGAGACGACCATGGCGGTCGTGGTCCTGCCTTTGCCGTTGGAGCAGTTGAAAACAAAGGCTGAGTGAGAATCCTCCGCCAAGGCGCTCTTCATGGCCTCCAACAGCTTATCAAAATCCTGGAATGCACACACAGAGTTCATGCACAGATGCAAACAAACAAAACCACAATATCTTTACACAGAAATCCAGGAAAAAATCCTGAATCATCAGTGTAGACTTCTACTTTATGCAAACTTTGTGCTGATATCAGTAGACTTTTATAGGAATTAAGGATATTTGGTGAAATAAATATAAAATCAATCCTGAAACTTTTTGTAAATCAACTTGCAAAGAGCAAAAATAATAAATGATAATGGGGGGAAAACACACTGTGTAAGCAATCATGAATAAAGTGTAAAATAACACTTTCTTATTATTCCAATGTTATAAGCGCAGCACCATTCTTCACCACTAGAGGGAGCAAAAGGCTTGCTCATCATCAGCTCTCCTCAGTACAAACTGCTACCAGAGGGACCAGAAGCCCTCACGTCTGCAGCTATGTGCTCATGTTCACGTTGTTACCTCCTCCCGGGGCGCGCTGCAGTCCGGCAGCGGGATGCGTTTGAAGACCAGGCCCTGGTAGGAGCTCTTGTGCTGGTTGAAGATTTCTTGGACTGTCATGCAGCTTTTGAACATCTTCATCTGTTTCTCCTGCTCCAGGATCACCTCCAGCCACTTCTGAGCTTGCAGAATCTCCTCCTTCAGGGATGTCTCCAGTTTCTGCAGACCAGGAGGAGACATGGGAGCACTTTCAGTTGTTTGAAGCTCGGCCCAGATTCTTTCAGGCACTTTCTGACTGTAGCAGAACACAAAAAAAAAAACATCAGACAGCATCGTTTTCCTTCTACCTCTAGCAGCAGCGGGTCAGACGACGGGATCGAGATGTGCTGGTCGAGACACGACGGCTCCCTCGGGTTGAAAATCTGCCCGTTGCCCTCCAGCACCAGCTCCTCCTGCAGGTTGACCCACAACACGTGGCTGTGCTTCCTCTTCTCGTCCGTCAGATGGGCCAAAACCGCCCCGGTGGCCTGCACACAGCAAAGTGACCATTAGAGCAGGGAGCTGGAAGTCCAGCTCGAGCATCCGGAGGTGGGCGTGTGAATCTTCACAAAATAACCATGAGTCATTCCTCCGAGTCTGTTTGTACTCATGAATATTCCTGATTGCAGGGCTGCGTATAAATACTGAATACAAAGTTGTCATTTGAATGTGAAAATACAAAGACAGTGTTGCAGAAATGATTATTATAAAGACTACTAAATGAAAGATGTGAGGTTCTGCTCTTTCTCTTCTTTTTTTATATTCCCTCAAGACTCTGTGATGGATGCAGGTGATGATCTGTATAAATGAGGGATGAATGAAAGCTGCTGCACCTCTAACGTCGGCTGAGCCACTCCATAAACAGGCATCTTGGGCACTCGTCTGAAGTTGACCGCCTTCATCTCCTTCACTGTGCTGAGCACGTCAGGAGCCAAGTACTCATCAGCAACCTGCACACACACACACACACACACACTTATACATTAGGTAACATGGACGACGTGGTTTATTTTAAGATGCCGGTGATTACAGATGCAGATGACGGGTCTCTAGAGGTGGGTGGTCATGCCAGCACCTTGCAGGGCAGCTTGAGTGTGTGGGTTAATAGGAGGCAAAGTGTAAGAAGCTCTGGATTGAAGCGCTGCTTGAATGCAGTCATTTGCCATTTACATCATTTACATGACTGTGTGTGAAGATGATGAGAGATTCAACACAATTATCCCAACATTTATCAGCACAGAAACATCAGCAGCAGCATTTACAGGAAACACTCAGACTATGAAGGACTACAGTCGTCCTCACATGTGTTCATACCCGCCCAGTAAAGAAGGAGAAAACAGCCGTCACTGAAATAAGTTGACAAAAGTAATAATAAATAAAAATTTAAGGAACATCATGACATTGTTTTTGAATTGTGATTCAACAGAAATGCAAAAAAAAAACAAAAAAAAAAACAAGCATGATGGGACACGTAAACTAATATTTTGTTAATTTGTCTGGGATGATTTGTTTTTTTAAATGATTCTTTTCAACCACAATTCAAAAGCAATGTCTTATTTCACTAAATTATAATTTAGCAAATTTTTATTTATTATTACTTTTTCCAGTTTCTACTTATTTGAGTGAGTTTTGCCTTTTCTTTAATGGAGAGTGTGAATACATGTGAGGACGACTGTATGTTTGCATCCTGCATGACACTGATGAGGACACCATCATGAGAGGAAACAAATAATAAAAGCTGATTTTCTGAGTTCCTCACCAGGACCCGTGCTCCTCTGGTGACCAGCTCGGCCGGAGCGGACAGCTCCGACAGATCCATGCGGGCCAGTAGCCGGTACAGCCAAGCGTGGCAGCACATCCACTGGCTGAAGTTGGACACAAAGGCAAGGGGGTACTACGAAACACAAAAACAGAGTTACACCCCAAGATCCTGCTGCAGTGACATCAGTAAAGACATTCAGACTGGAGAAGGATGTTCACCTGCTCGTGAAGGTACGCGTTAAACACGATCAAGAAGAAGTAGCGCTCCAAACTCTGCATGGTTCTGTTGAGAAAGTAGTCTTTGGTACTGCTTCCCTAGAAGACAAACGAAAGCTTTAATGTCTGATCCCAGCAGCAGCAGCTTGTGTAAGGTCCTTCTCAGTTCTGTCGTGAAGCACCTCGACCAAATTTAAATCTCCACTGATTTCCATCATGTTACTTAAGTCCTCAATCAGCTGGAGGGCCCTCGTTAATAAGGACACGTTATGCGTCATCAGCATTATCCGCTGATTGCGGTCTCGCTCCTGCTTTATTTAGCTGAATATCAACTGAGCAGAAGAAGCTGCTGGAAATCAGATCTACGGCACAAGGTGCTGCCTTGGAAAAGAAATCCCCCAAAAAAAGCATCTTCACGAACCTGAATTTGATAATCTTCTCCGATCCCTTCCAGCTTGCTCTTGTTCTCGTATATTGCTTCTTTTATGTTGTGCATTTCTGAGCACAGGGTTATTGCCTGGTCAACCTGCAGCACAAACACACAACTCACATGAGATGTAAAAGACTGACTTGACTTTTAATTTAAAAATATATCCCCTTCAGACATATACTAAACTTCTGACCCTCAAAACCCGGTTTGAGAGTTTGAAAGGCACTTAAAAAAAAAAAACATAAATCAGCAACATGGTACCATTTATTAGAGCCAGAACTGTAACAAATAGAAATAATAGTCAGATTTTTTACTTTCCACTGGTCCTTAAACTATCATCTGTAACATCAATCTTTATTCTAAATGTCGTACTTTAAAATTTAGCCAAAAACACAGTATTTGATTTAACTGGATTCTTTGAAAAACTAAAAATTCGGCGCTCCTCGCTGCTCCCATAAAGCCGCCAGCGACTCTGCTGCCACCAACGGTCACATGACAACAATTCAGGGACTGTTCAGCAGTAACACAGGCTGGGTTTACACGGAGAAGACAGGAGACAAGCTTGGAAACCGATTAAAACTACGAGAGACAAAGGAACCGTTGTAGTTTAGAACCCAGGTCAGCTGCTGAGAGGGCATCCATGACGGGCTTTACCTCTTCCATGACCTGCTGTCCGTTGGGCAGCTTGCTGATCAGAGACTGGATGACCTTGAACAGTGGTTTGGGTTCTGAAGCTGCTGCCGCCTCAACTCTACACAAATGTAAACAAACAAACAAACAAAAAGCTTCAGATCTGCATCATCAAACATGCAAAATAAATGAAATGTCTTCTCCGTTTCCCAAATGCATGTGAACTCGTACAGAGGCGGCGGCTGCGTGTCGCCCCTGAGGCGGTTCATCACCAGCGTGCCCAGGATCATGGCGAGGTTGGTGCGGCCGACGCCCACCTGGCAGCTGAAGAGCAGAGCGGGCAGCTGCTGGGACGGACCGTGACCCAGAGACAAGCTGGGGCTCTCCTGGAAAACAACAGGAGAGAGGAGGAGGGACGGCAGACAAAAGAGAAACGGTGTCAACTAACCGAGGGTGAGAATGACCTGATGTTATCTTAACAGTAGTAAAAAAAAAATAAAATTAAATAAATGTTCCTGGATGAGCACAGATTTATTATCCAGGATAATTTGGCTTTTGATTGAAAAACTAAACTCAGAAAAGTAAAATGCAGCCACTTCAAAGCCCAGTTCTGAATCTACAGCTTTCACATCAGAGTTTTATCATCATGTGTAGAAGTTTGGAGACATCCACGGTAGCGACTGAGTCAGATTTTTAAAAAAAGTCAGACTGAAAAGAAAGGCAGTAAAATTCAGATCCAAACACTGTTTAAAAAAAAAGGGAGCCACTTTCCAACCACAGGGAACTGGACCGGCTGCTGCGAGTCAGTCCAAAAAAGGGCAAAACAAGACGAAAAGAACATCCTGTGTGAGTGAAGGGCAGAGCGGAAACCAGACCGAGCGGATGACCAGAGACACACAGTCAGAACAAACTGAGGTTTTTTTTACCATCACACTTATTAGTGACTGATTGCACAGACAGGACCGTGGATTAAAATGCGACCTTCTCGCTGCCGCGGTGACAAAGTCCAGATGCTCTCTAATATTCCAGTCATTAATAACTTTAATGGCACATCCAAACAAGATCCCAACCAGAAGAGCACGACCAAAAAAGGGGGTATCTGATTGGTGGACTCGCTCTGTGACTGTCACTTTTACGAGAGGAGCTTACCCTGAGTATGTTAACGAATGCGTCAAAGTCCTCCTCCAGCGGCGCTCCCTCCATCGGCAGCGGTAGTCTGTAGTACCTGCCGATACAACAGAGTGTTATCCAGGCTTGAACCTGCTCCTGTGTTGTGTCAATACTGCCCTGATGTCGGTCACACGTACACAAACATGTGAGCTTAAGACGCACCAGCTGACGTCGTGTTTAGCTCGTCAGGTAGAAACCTCCTCTGATCATCCACAAGGGATGATGGGAGAGATCAAAATCAGAAGCAACCACATGCAATCTAACCCCGAGTCTGAGCAGCTGGTGGGCGTTTTGTGTTCCTCTACTGCAAAATAAAGTCCTGCACCGAGGAGAGTGAACTTAAAAATGACTTTTGTGCAGTATGACACAGTTATAATATCATATATCAAAAAAAAACCAACTTGTGTTAAATGTTTTTGATTATATGTTTTTACAAAATTGACTAAAACCTGGAATCCACATGAACAATATGTTCCTACACCGAAGCTAGAAAAGACATCTGGGCTCGACATATTATAGATATTTTACTTCTTGTATTTTTTACACCTGGACAGGTTGACTGACGCATCTGCAACAGCCAAATAATACTTTTTTTTCTTTTTCTTAGCAGAACTGGGATGAACTGCAGGCAGTGTTTACACAGAGCAGATCGGTACGACGGAGCATTAGGGCCGAATTAAGAACAATATTTTCCCACAGACTTCGAGAATAAAGTCGTAATATTTAAGTTGTTTTAGAAGAGGAGAGTTGTTCAAATGATGGAACATTTCGTGAAGCTGTACTTCAGCATCAGTTTCACCGCGGCCCTCTTTTGAACAACTTTCCAATTAATTGTCCTTAATTTGGCTCTAATACTCCGTCGTACTGATCTGCTCTGTGTAAACACTGCCTGCAGTTCATCCCAGTTCTGCTAAGAAAAACAAAAATACTAGAATTTGTATTGTTTGGCTGTTGCACATGCATCACTCGACCTGTCCAGGTGAACCTGCCTTCACCCTGAGTCAGCTTGGATAGGCTCCTGCCCCCCTGGTGAGGGTTAAGCGGTGTGTAGATGATGGATGGATGAATATGCGCCACTAATTGTGCTAAGCAGAGATTTTGTTGTTGGTAGAGAGTCTTGTTAAAGCAAATTCTGCACGTAGAATAAAGTAGTTTAGCTGAAATAATATGATTTTAAATGTAGAACTAGTTAATCTTACTACACATGGAAATCTGAAAATTCTTCCTGTTTTCTGATAAATGGTGTAAATTTGGTGCTTCTTTTAAGACGACGTGCATCTAAAACCCACCGTCTGGTTCAGAGGGTTTAAAGTGTCTCTAATAAAACATCCTGCTGTTTTTTATTTGACTGCAAAATGCACAGATTGAGAAAAACAAAAAGCTTCTGCACCTCCTCTGGGACTCATACATTGTCTTGCCCTGGAAATGCCGTGAGCAGCTCGGTACGTCTCGGTAAAGCAGACGACGCTGATCTGATTTCAAACAGGATGCTGCAATCTGTACTTTCTTACGCCCACCCTCTCCTTTCTTGCTAAAAAAGCAGGGCAACCAACCTTTGCACAAACAAGCTCCACTATTTATAACCTTCCCTGCATGTTCTGCAGCAGGCAGTCGAAACTCAAGTGTGAGCTGAGGAGCAGTGAAGGAGCAACGTAAACAACCTGTAGGCCGGCATGGTGAACATCGGCCTCTTGTAGACCTCTTCAGTCACGTGGATGTCCTCCTCGCACGTGATGGATATCTTCTGTGGCTCGTCTTTGAAGTACTCGATGTCGTTGTAGACGTAGAAGACGTTCTCGTTGAGCTTGGCGAAGTCGTGGAGCTGTGGGAAGATGGAGGGTTTTAACACTGCTAGCTGGAATCTACACCGCACCAAATAAACTGTCACATGTAGACGCTGCAGTCTGTCACCTCCTTCCTGATGGTGAGCTCCAGGTATTCAACCATCTCCTCCTTCTCCAGGCCGTGAAGGTTCTCGTGCAGGTTCTCCTTCTTCCTGGGAGTGTACGGCACAAAGTCGTCGTCCTTGTGCAGAAAAACCACCGGCTCCTCTCTCACGCAGAAGAATATGATCTCCTGATCGCAGAAGCAAAAAGGGCATCAAATAAGAGAGTATTAAAGAGAGCGGCTGCTGCCTCGGACCGACCGCAGCGCCTCCATTAATAACTGGAAACAATCTGTCATCATACGACATGCAGCACATGAGCAAAGGCTTTGGAGAGGCCTGATGTATAATTTTGTCAATTTCATTTCAATTACAGTCAGTTGCTCGCTGCTGCTGCTGCGAGACCAGAGAGCGAGCTTCATTTTCCACTGGCACACAGCACCGCAACTTTCTGTTTGCTCACTTCTACAATCGAGCCACAGCCTCCACTAAACACTTGACTCCTCAAATATTTACTGACAACACGGAGTGAAAAAGAGGCCAGGCAGGCGGAGAGTGGAGATCTACCAGAGAAGCTATCGGCCGATCCTGCCGGCCTGAGAGCGGCGAGTTGAAAATTCAAAGATCTACCGAGCAGCACTGACCTCTTGTCCTTGTGCCTGGAGCCTCTGGAGAACCTGCTTGAAGCCGTTGAGGCTGGGCTGACCCATCCCATACAGCGGGTAGGATCCCTTCACTTGGCGGAAGTTGGGCGCCCCGTAGCTGCCTGTGGTGTTCAGGACGTCCGCCTTGCTGTACACGTCCTGGACCATGAAGTACTCCCCCTGGAGAGACATGCAGCTGATAATTTATCTGGAGCTTCACCCACACACAGCAAACAGTTAAATAAACCTTAAATCAATTTACATTGCATCCTCATGGGAGCTTCAACGGCTTTTATACTCTTTTATTAAAGTTCTCAGTTCAGAAAAAGCTAAATCTCTTCTTCTTCCTCTTTCTTTTGTTTGCAAACACCACAGCGGATCCAGTCTGGTTGCTGTGTTGTCTCAACAGATTAAAGTTCTGCTCCGCCGCCTCCATCTTCAGCAGAGCTTGTCTCCTGCCGTGACCCTGAGAGCTCAACACGACGCAACACAAGCAACCCAGGAAAACATCTTCAGCAACTTGGAAACGCTCACGTGCGGCACGAAGGAATCACAAAGAAACCACAGTCACATAGAAACCGGATCAGGGCTTTCCGGTCATTCCTACTCTTTCTGTCACTCTTTGATGTTATCCCGACTACACAAACACTAACACAGATGAATTATGCATCATGTTAAAGCAGCCAGTGGCTTCTTTGTGACCGATCAGACTTAATGATTTCCCCTTCAGGTAACATTTCCTTTATGCTAATCCGATGGCGTCTGAACGTGTCGGCTCCACGTCTGAAGGAGCGCCGCTTCAACAGACAAGACGCAACGTGTCACCTGGCCGGACCAAATAACATTCAGGTATCACTCAGGACAGCACAGGTCTAGACTACACAACCAGTCATTGTTGTTCCTCTGAGTTGATCAAAGAGCTGCAGCATCAAACATCAAACAGGATCCATACGAGCGTCTCCAAGAAAGCTACGAGCATTCACACACGTGGACAATAACGTCATTAATTACTTATAACTATGAAGCATCCACAACAGGATCCATTACGGTTCAACTGGAGGTCACATGTTGCACAGAAAGCTGCAGCGACACAACAGAGACCCGGTTTCTGGACTCTGGAGAGATAACGGCACGGATTCTGAAAGTTGTCTTCGTTTTCCACCAATCTACCTTTGAAAGAATTCAGATTAAACAGCTTTCTCTAAAAACCCGTATTGTGTGATCATTCGGATGTATCTGCGGTGTTGACGTGAAGCTGACCTCGTAACACGTCAAATAACACGACACGTTAACCGTCAGAACCTCAGAATCCAGCAGCAGCGGGTTTAAACGGCACCGAAGAATCCACAAAATCACACATTTGATCAAAGCCAGAAACGTTTATCTGTTGTTGAATCAGGAATCTAAACCACATCCCAGCTTAAAATCATGATACACATTGAAATCATGTCTCGTTTTAAAATTTTCCATAAAACATATTGTTTTCCCTCTAGCTGGGAAGCCATCAGAGATTTAGCTGTTTTAGCCGAGCTGGGTTGAACTGCAGGCTGTGTGCTGCTAATGATTCGTGGCATTATAACTGCATCATCCAACACAGAAGACGTTTCTGAGTCGTCTCTCCTTCTAGTCGCGGTTGTGCTGCTTCCATAAACACTGGAGAGAAAACGTCTAAAAACCGTCTGGCTTAAGAGGGTTAACGAGGCTTTTTGGTGAAGAAACCACCTCAGTGTGGTCTAAACGTGGACAAGACACTTCTAAAGGATTTTTTTCGTGGATGTGTTCTTGGGGGGAAACTCCTGAGCCACACGTGTAAACAGAAACTGTGGCTTAACGCCGACGGCGTGTCTGAGCCGCCGCAGCAGAGGTGACAGAGCAGATCAAAGCCTCGATAGCAGGGTGACAACATTCCTGCTTCAACGGCCGCCTCTGATCATAAAGCAGCGCATGACAATGTTCCTGCAGTCTGGACATGTGAATGTGAAAAGAACACGCATAGAGGAGGGCGAGACGAATCCACAGCTCTCCGCCAGAGGCTGCAAACTGTCCTCACCTGCACCAGGTAGTGCTCGGGCATCGCGTCTGATATCCGGCCCACTTTGTAGTTGGTCTTGAGGATGTCATCGTGAATCTGGAATTCCTGCCTGCAATTATACCTGCGACACAAAACACGGCAGAAGAAGAGAGGTCAATTCGATTATCGGCCGCTGTTTGCTCGGCCCGGGTCGACAAAAGAGGTGATAACGGAGGCAAACACTCGGGCTGGAGGGTGGAGGGATGTCACCGCATTGATCAAAAAGGATTAACACCCAATTGCGAGAACGCAGATTCGGGGAGGGACTTACGTGATGACGACAGGTGCGACCTTGTTGGTGATAATGGACTTGGCCTTGTTGTTGTGGATGTTGACCGTCTGGAAGGGGCTCATGCTGAGAGACTGCCTGCTGTCGGCCATCCCGTTGCCATGGACACTCTCAAGCGGTGACGCTACAGAAACAGGCTGTGGTGCGGCGCTGGCAGTTGTACCCATGCTCCACAAGCTGCTGTGAATGACATGGCAGCGGACTCAGAAACAGGAAGGCAGCATGTATTTGGGGGTTGAAACACGGTGAAGGTGTGAAAAGCTTTTCAGTCGGTGTCTCACACTTCAGAAATGAAGTGATAGAGAAAAAAAAAATCTGTCAGTCACAGTGAGACAGGATATGAAGTCACTATTAGAGTTATCTGCAGACTTTTTTCCCGTTAGATGCTAGTAGTTTGGTTATAAGGATGGTGAGGTTGTTGCATTTTAACCCTGATCATCTCCTGACTTCTCACACATCGCCACCATAAAGTCGACCTGTTTGGCTTTTAGTTAGAAATCTAAACCAGATGATTTGCAGGGAACGTTTCATTCAGGCATCCACGGTGCCAAGAGGATACGCTATGTTGAATCAAATGAGAAGATTGATAACAATCTCTTCTTCTACATATGAAGCTACCACCAGAAGCCAGTTAGCACAGCTAGGCATGGGGCTGGACCCAAACATCTGAACATTCGGTCGTTGTGGTGGTATCCGGATGTCAGTTTTGAGATCTGAATACCCAGAGTGAATATCCGGAGCCCAGAAGTTGCTGTTCGGACCGGCCCTGGGATGGAAAACATCGTTACTGGACTAAGGATTAAACTGTTGTGCTGGGTTTTCATCAGAACCAGGCCTGCTGGTTGCTGCTTCATTTTTAGTCTGCACTGACATTTTCATGGAACTTATCTGCACCTACTTACGTCATTTGCACATTTCTGTATCTCTCTCCTAAATTGTGTTGACTTTTCTACTATATTTTCTGTTTTTATCTTATTTTACTTTTTCATGTTATACCCTAATGTTCTGTGTTGTCTTTTTGCTTTCGTTTACCCCCTTTAATCAAATCAATCAAATTTTATTTATAAAGCACTTTTCATGTGCAACAACAACAACAACAACGCAAAGTGTTTTACAACATTTAAAAACAACAAACCATTTAAAAACATGAACATTCATGCTGCTGTAACACCTGAACGTCCCTCTGAATAAAGTCTAACCGTCTGCAAAAAGGCGAATAAGGACAACTATGTCAAACTATTATTTTTCTACTTAATTTTGTGGCTTCCTAACTTTCACACCGCGGTGTGAAAATAAACTGCGTGGACGTACAAATGCTTTTATCTCTACACTTGAATTACTGTTGAACTTCTCCCTCCGTTATTTCCCTTTTATTATATTTTTAAAAAATCCCCATCAAGAGCGAGATGAGGTGATGCAATAAAAAACATATATAAATATTAATCAATTATTTTAAAAAGCATCAGCAGTGGCAGTTCTGTGAATCTTATAAGAGCGTCAGTGACTCATGACATGACCCTCTTTAGCTTTACTTTAATTACAGTCGTATCTGAATGATTTCATTAGTGTGGTGGTTGATTTTATAATCACACAGCTCAGACCCTCGTGAGAGTCGGTCGCAGGTTTCAAGTGAATCTCCTCCCCTCTGAATAAACAGCGAGCTGTCCGGGGAGCTCTGCAGATAAACAAAACGAGCAGTCGGGAGCCACGTCGCTCCTAAACATCACTTCTAACATGTAGCCGGTCGGGAACCCACAGCAGCACACAGACGTTAAGACGCACAAAAACGCCCAAACACATGCGAACACGCTAACCAAGAGGTCCGAATCAACCCAGCTTGATGTCACACGGCTCGGGCACATGGCAGCGTCGTCTCCTGCCGCCTGAGCTCAAAGCACCTCCGTGTGATCTCCAGCTTTGAAAGGAGTGAACTCTCATTGTGCAGAGAGGCTGAGCGGAGGGAGAAGTGCCGGGTGAGTCACCGCCACTCTCCTCTTTGTTGCGTCTGGAGGTGTGTGGGCAGGTCAACCTTGTACTCAGAGACCTTTTGATTCAGCAGCGAGATTCTCTTCTCACAAGCACAATGAAGCAAAGACGAGGCATTGATTTGCTGTTTCGTCTGCTGGCACGGCTGAAACACAGCCGGGCTGAAAGGCTTCTGAGGCTCGAATGAGTGTACAATCTGAGGAAATATGTCGAATAACTGCACCGTAGAAACACTGAGGAGTGAAGAGAGGCAGAATCTCTTCCAAAAAGTTCCATAAAAGGAAGCTAACTTTTAAAGAAAACTCTGCTCCAGCTGCCCGAGTCTATTTGAGTCCTACCACATACCAAAAGCATCTCTGTTGCCATAATTTTACAGCCGCCACAAGAAAAACAACAAAAGCGCTCCATGGAGTAACAATCCGCACAAATCGGACGTCTTACGTATGAAACGAGGGTCGATCTGTGCTCCCAGATCCCTTCCTCTGCTGCTTGTGTTCCGCCATGGTCCAGAAGGAGTGTGAGAACTTGGCATCACAACCAAAAAAAAGAAAAGAAAATCTCCTCTCTCTCTCTTTTGAATCCCGTCACCCGCCACCCCCCAGTCGGTGGGAAACACCCCTCGCGGGAACCTCAAAGTGCCCGGCTGCTTGGCATTCAGCAGAAAGCTTTCAGGCAGCGTCCTCCTCGTCTCCGTCCTATCTCCTGTCTGATGTTGGGAAGCAGATTCAAGCAGGAGGCTGGAGTCTCCACGGAGGGGACCGGGGGAAGTAGCACTACATCTGGCAGCCAGATGGCTAAAGTTCAGCTCCCTTTCACAGGGACAGGCTCTGCACAAAGACGACACACAGTTGACTCCTGAGCTTTCCAGTGAGCGGCACAAAGGCGGACATGATAACTCCATTACCAGACTGACAGACTGACACGGTTTTCAAAATATCAAAAGGTTTGCATTTGATATAATCATTTTGCTGTTGCTCGGAGTCGAGTTTACATCCAAATTGGAACTAAACTTCCAGAAAATCTACCAATAATACAAGTTTCTGCACTTTCTCAATCAAACCTGCGAGTGTGAGTTTGGGACGTGAATCAAAAACAAGGAAAACAAACGGTTGTGAGACGACGTGCACCGCCAGACACGGCAGATGTAAAAACGTCTCCTTGACTTTCTATTTACGACTGTCTGGTCTTCTGCATTCCGCACAGTAAAGGGAATTTACATAGCAAAGCCTTTTTTAGCTCTCTGTCACTTTAAGGACATTTAATCAGTAGGTTTCCTTTACCCACCACCACAGCCATGCATGATAATATGCATGTTCCTATGTGGCTCAGTGGAAAGCAGTAAAACACTGACAACAGATTCTCCTCATCCCCTATCGCATCCCCAGTGGCGCTGAGGTTATTTGTAAAACATCTGAGTGTTAAATGAGGCTGTCCGACACTTCCTGACTCTTCAGATATACGCGGGCCTCCAAAGGAAAGCAGCGCTATAAAGGCTGCAGGGCCCCGTGCTGTGGCTGCCTGACTGAAAGTGGCACATCGGAAACCCTCCTCCGCCTTACCTTCCAGCCTGTCACCTCTGCTGCGACACCATGGTGCACGACACGCTCTCACACGGAAGTTCCTGCTGCACACCACAGCAGCTCCTCAGCAACACTGATTTCAGCAGAGGCAGACCTGGTGCAGCGGGCGGGCGGGCGGGCAGTCGGGGCGGAGGCCTGAGTAGAAATAGCCCTCAGTCATAAACATCCTCCTGGAGAGCCAATCAAGGCAACTCATCAGAGAGGCTGTTTATCCCACACGTCAGCCGGAGCAGCGCCGCGCCGCTGCCGAGGCCAAGAAAACGACAAGATTCCCTCTGACAGCGCACAGAAAAAATGTAAGAGCAAAATAAACAGATTCACCTTTTCATTGCGTGACCCTGAAAGCCGGCCTGTGAACAGCTGGTCAGAGTGAGCCGACGGCAGCGATATTTAAATTCACCGATGGCACAGTGAGAATAAGAGCACGGAAACTGGAGCCTCCTGCCAGCCTGCCAGCATCGCTCCATTCAGCCCTGCCCCATTTAAATTCAGCCGGCGTCCCAACTTTGCTGTAGCAACGTCTTCAGACAAAAGGGCCTGAGCGCAGACAGGAAGGAGCTTGCAGCTGCAGGATGCATCTGTTGGTGGCCCCGAGGAAGGATGCAGAGCACTCTTCATTCACAAGAGATGCAGGGGTTCAAGAGAGACGGGTATCACTCTGTAGATCTTTCAACGCCACTTCCCACATCGAGGGTTGAGAAGGGAACCGCAAGCGTGGCAGCGAGAAAACACAAAACACTCACAGTTCAGTTTATTTAGCAATATTGCTCTTCTGATTCGAGGAGGTCGGAGGTGTTTCTGGTCTCCACGGAGGCCTCTTGTTCAGTCTGACGATGTTCAGTCTAAGAAGCCTCCTGGCTGTGCAGAATGACTTTCAGACTCTTTTCCGTTCATTCCTAACGCGCCGCTTCGTGTCTTAATCAGCAGCTTTCTGTAAAAGCTGCACCTCACTGGGTCAGACCAACAACATTTCCGCATTTCTTTCAACACAGAGCAAATCTGAACTGCAACCAGTCACACTGGAGATGAAATGATTAAAGGAGTTTTTCTACATTTCAGCACCAAAACTGATCCAAAAACATCTCGTCTGTGTCCTAATATCATAAACGCTCTTTCTCATTCACGTTTCCTCCTCAGTGTCGCATCTATTAGAGACTGAAGCATCCATAAAAACAAAAGTTGTGCACATTCGTTATTTCTAATTATAAATCACCTCCAACACATAGACAGGATCCATCCAGATCGGTTTCTAGTCAGTTGTGTCCTTTACTTCACCTCAGACAGGTGAGCTGTCAAACAGAGTCCCAGTTTATACGCAGCAGTTAAATCATTTGTTGCATAGCAGCCGTCCGGTACAGTTTTTTGATTTTCTGTTCATAGATTACTGGTTAGATTATCATCAGACAGTGTTTAAGGAAATCATAAATAAAAGAGCTTATTAGTTATATGGTCAGTTTGATAAGCTGCAATTAGTTCAGATGTTTATTGCATTATTACATCTTACAGATCGCTTGGGATGACGTTTAGTGTCACGTTTATGTCACGTTAGACGACAACAACAGAACCCGACGCTGCAAGATGGAGTCAGATTCTCATTTCTAACACTGCACCTGTCAACGCATTTCTCTGGAGATCTCTCAACAACAACAACGTGCAAGAAACCCTCCAGCACTTTTCAAAAACCTAATTTAATCAGAGCAGCTCATATAATTTATATCAACGGAGCAGCAGCCTGTCGCTCATCACAGGGTACCGGACCAGCACAAATCACTGAGCACAGGCCGGTCACACCCCCCGAGCAGAGGAAGCATAAGCACACCTTCACAGGAAACGCTTACTCTCCGAAACTTCCTCCCTGCAGCTGTACACATATTTCACCAGTGAGGTTAAGGGTTACATGCAGGCGCGATTCCACAGGACATTGCTAGTTCCTGAGCTAAACATCAGTTGTGCGCGGAAATGAGCTCAGTGCTTCCTCTGCAGAAAATCTTTTTTGTTTTCCTTCGACTGTTCCAAAAACCTCATTGTGAATTTGTGTCAGCGTACGCGGCTCTGATGTATGCTTTTGTCCAGAATAAATGTCCCAGCAATCCTGCTCAGAAATAGACTGCGGCGAGAGGAAGCAGCGCAGCGCGCCGTCGGAGGATGCAGCTTCTATGTGAAACAGCTTTTGCACTTCAAGGCGAGTGGTCCACATTGACATTCTGAGTGCACGAGCCGCCTCGCTTTCGTCACAGCTCCACGCTGAGCTGCTAAAAACGCTGCGCAGGTCTATTTTTAAAGCCACGTCTGTAATTTATTTCATTTCAAGCTGGCAATTTGATCCCCCTATGATTTCAAGGTTGCAGTAATGCGGCTTTTTTGCAAACCCCCAGCGTCCGACCGCAATATTCTGTCAGCGCCGCCACGCCAACTGACAGCACTTTCTGTTTTGTCACACCCTCCGAAAATCTGCACTCTTACGCCGACAGATTTTGCACGGCTTCGTCAACATGTTCCTATTCGCTCAGACCAAAGCGGTGAACCTGTGTCAGCGCAAACTACATCCTGACTTGAGCAGCAGCGTTTTCTAAGTTGGTGTGGGCCGCCAGAACCCTGTCAAACAGGCGCTGGTCCTCTGCTGGAGGAATGCGAGCTTGATAAACACTTGAGAGGAGAGCCGAGGCATCACTGGCCAGCAAGAATGTAATCTGTGCAAGTGCGTGAAAATCAAACATGAGTGGAGAACGTGTTCAGAAAGGGAACACCTCCCTGGTAATGGGAAAGTAGTTTTTAATATTCTGTGACATTTTAAGAGATTTAAGAGACAGTTTGAAAGGGCTGCAGGGTGAGTCTGAGGTAAAAATCACAACATGCATCTGAAGTGATACTCAGACAACATTTCCTCTTGCACCCTTCAGAGATGACATGTTTGTCAGCCGCAAGCCTGCAGCAGGAGAATGTAAAGTCACAACTGTACCTGACATTCAGCTGTTCAGTCCACCATCCGAGAGGTGCACGAGTCTCAGGCGAGCGCAATAATCACCAGACAGAAAACAGCGGCTGACAAATAACCAAGAGCTCTCCGGCGAGCAAACCGGTCTCAGTCAGTCGTCCCTCGCTGGCATCGCTCCGTCTGATCTGTCTCTGCCTGCTGATCGAACTACGGCAGGCGGCAGTCTCGCATCATTAACGTGTCCTTATAAAGCGAGTCAATGAGCGCGTCCTTCAGCGAGGACAGATCCCAGACAGCCACTCAGCAGGAGAACGCAGAGGGACGGAGGAGGAGGGGGCACAGCTCCTCGTCTGAGCTGCAAACGAGTGAAGACACGCTCCCCCGTTGGCTTTTTTTGTTCTCACTTTTTGGTCTGCATCCCCTGTGCAAGAGGTGCACGGCTGCTCAGGGTGTGTGTGTGTGTGTGCATGCATGTGTGTGTGTGTAAAGAGGATGTGGAGGCGGACCCACAGAGGCTTACTCATCATCAAGCTCGCTATCCAATCGCTACAGGAGCCTCCTGGCGAACGCGCTACCCTCCACACATGGCAGACCTTTTAACAAGTGCACCGTCAAATTAAACCTTCACTTCAATCACAGCCTGCAGCAGCCGACCCTCGCCTCGCACGTCGGCCCGCCAGGAGGCTGACGACGCGCCGGCAGATGACATCACGTAAGCCTAATTCACTACGATGCTCTAATTAGTCCATTCATTAGCGGTTAACACATGCCATGCTCAAGGTAAACAGGCTTACAGCTGGGCAAACACTCCGACTTAAGCCCGAGGTTCAGCTGCAGCTCTTGTTAACCCCGAGGTCAAACCAGTTCTTCAAGTGCATCTCATCGCCTGAAGACGGCAAGAACAAAGCCAGCAGCATCGAGTGATTAAATACCTACCAAAAAAACAGAATAAATGCAACATACCTGATGGTATATTTACAGCTAAGAGTCCAACTGACAGAGCAGCCGACAACATGAAGCTTATCTCCTGAGCCGCTGCCTGCAACAATATTTTCTTACAGAAGTATGTGCAATCTGTCACCAAGATAATGTCCACACCGAGCCGATTTGCAAAAGCAGCGAGTAGTTTTCGAGATATGGATGTAAAATCTGCTGCTGCCACACCTGTTCCTTCCTTCCTGGAGCAGCGCAGGCCAAGACTCTGAAGTTCTTGCAACACCGTAGAAGTGAAACAAACCCCTCCCGTGACCCGCTCAGCCCACAGAGCATGAATGAATCAATCAGTCAGAAGTCATAAATACGACCGTTTCCCCCGGTTAGAGTTTGTTTAAACTTAAACATATCAAGAGGTTTAGAAAAAATATTGACTTTAATGAAAAATAAAGTGCCAGAAAGACGACCCGTGTAGGTGCGAGTTCAAACACTTCACTTCCTTCCTTTTCTTTTTTGATTATATGGCAATAAAACAGCAGAATCTGGAAAAAGAGGATGTTCACTGACAGATGAGGAAAAACATCCTCTCAGCTGAACGTCCACAGTGGAAAAAGAGCGCACGGTTAACATCACCTGTCGTGTCCGAGTCCCGTCTCAGGCCTGGCGTCTGTCCGACACCACCGCGGGTCAATTTGCTAAAAACCCGTTTTAACAGCAACAGGAAAGGAGAAGACCTGATGGAAAACACTTCACCTGGAGTTCAGCTCCCAGGAGCGGCGCGACACAAGATGTTCAATTTCTCATCGTCTTCTCTGTTTTTGTCAGAGGACGGAGACGTCGGTGCCAAATTCAACTTTTCCCCTCGATCAATATTTGTCAAGTTAAAAATACATCAGCTGCTGCCGGGAAGCAGCGATGATGATTAATCACAAATACCCAAAGGGACAGATTTTGGGGATATGTAACCGTCCAGTCCAGCGTTCAGATATGACACCTGGTGGTAAAAATCATCCACTGCACTCCCTGGAAGACAGGCGTCCCGTCCGTTATGTCGACTATTCAGGTGTTCTTCAGTCACTTGGCGCCACGAATACAACATGTAATGAGAAACACAATCCCTCTCTAGGGTGTAGGGGGCGGCACATTCCTGAAGGAAGCCCAAATCTAATCGACCCGACATCTCAACCTCTTATGATTAATTCACAATAAAGCTAAAGCTACGACGACAACTTTTGAAAAGCACGAGGCGTATCCGTCCCACGTCTCTCATCAAGACAGGATCAACAGCTCAATCACGTCCGATCGAGGCGTTCACTCATCGAGGAGTTTCGCGCTCTCGCTCTTGATTAATGGTTTGATTTGAGCTGTCGGGGGTCAGTTTCTGTCTTCCCCCGACTCGTCCCAAAGCGGGAGGTAAACCGATACGCCCAGCTGGACGGGGCAGAAAGAAAAACTCCAACAAAAGCCACGACTACAATACATCAAAGGGCATCATGTGCTTTGTCTTACTTCGCTTGAGACATTTCATACGTTGCATTACACCTAAAGGCAGGAATGAACGCGTCGTGTCACATTTCCTCGCCGCTGATCATCCATGTGGGCATCTCAGACTGCCAGCAAATCCTTCAGAGGTTCGCTTCAAATGATCCCAAATGGAGAAAACATAGCAAAAAATGGATTTGCAGTGCATTCACAAGACTAAAAAATAACGTGTTCTACTTTAAACGTTGGCTGTAACAGCAAATTAAAACATGCAGCTTCATTTTTTTAACTTCTGGGAGCAATAAGGTCAAACATGATTTTCAAAGCTTGCATCCAAATTTGTATTTCCTTTAAATGCGTACTGTTTTCTGATCCTTGTATACGTCCACTAGGGATTAATAAGGACACACATGCACCAGTAAATTACTTTTAGAAGTATTTCTTTCTTCCTGTTTTGACTGCTTCCACATGCACACTTATTATTATGTCTGCTTTAAATGATCCCAAATGCAAAAAACAAGGCGAAAAATGTATTTGCATTGCATTCACAAGACTAAAGACACCTTTTTCTGCTTTATATATGGCCTGTAACAGTATATTCAAGCACGCAACTTCATTTTCTTTAACTATTGGGGGCAATAAGGTCAAACATGACTTCGCTTTTCAACGTGGTCAACCACATTTTTGTTCTTTCTGGGTTTTTTTTATGGTTTTCCTTGCATATGTCCACCATGGATTAATAAAAATACATTTGCACCAGTAAATGAAATGTCTGTTCTTGTTGTTTTTTGTGTGGAAATATTTATTTTGCCTGTTTTCTGTCTGTTTCCACATGCACACGTATTATTAGGTTTGCTTTAAATGATCCCAAATGCAAAAAAACAAGGTGAAAATTAATTTGCACTGCACTCACAAGGCTACAAACACCCTTTTCTACTCTATATGTTGGCTGTAACAGTATACTCAAGCATGCAACTGGATTTTTGTTCCACTTTTGGGAACAATGGAGTCAAACATCAATCCTGCATCCACAGTAAATCACATTTCTGATCTTACTGGTGTCTGTGTGGAAGTATTTGTGTCTGTCCTGTTTTCTGCCACTCCTATTATCAACATACATTCAGTGTTTGCAGAGGAAGACATCATGTGCATGCACACAGCACTCTGAGGGGATCAAACATTTCACAGGCTGGTCAAGTGTTGGTAGCATCCTGCAGTGAAGCTGCTCATCACCCTCAATGTGGACGTGCACAAAGAAAGTGAAGGTAGCCGAGCAGTGAAGCCCAGATGGAGCTCAAACATCCACATGTTGGATTCGTCAAAGCCTGAAAGTGGCCAAATCACAAGATTCGGTGCAGAAAGCAGGGCAGGCATGGAGGTGGGGGGTGCCAAGCACATGTATGAGCCACCAGCCAGCACACATCATGAAAATATCCCTCAAGTCCGGTCCGACCCAAACGACTGGCTGTTAAAGCTGCTCAGGTTCTGCTGCATCCAAAACCACCGGCCCGAATCTCAACTTTAAGGCTGCCGTGCTTCGTGCATGGAGCGCCGTAAACTTTGGGAGCTACTCACCATTTCAGCACACGGTGGGTGGAAAAGCTTGCGGCCGAGCGGAGAGCATGTCGGCGGGGCTCGGGTCGGAGGACGAGGCGCTGCGCTTTGTCTTCACATCGATGAGGGTGAAAGCATCCATCGATTTTTTTTTCTCTTTTTTTTTTCTTTTTTTTTTTGGTCCTTTCTCGGGAAATTTACGAGGAAAAGGATTCCGCTCCGTGAATAAAAAGACGGAGGGCGCATGCGCAGTGTGCGGTCATCCACGGATGAACCAAAATATCCAAACCTGGTGCAGAGCAGCCTGGACTGCTGCTCAGGAGGCAGCTGGAATAAAAAATAATCATATTCTGAGAGGTTTTATATAAGGCATCATGTAAATATGATAATTCAAAGTGTATTTAGGGATGTTACATTTATATTTATATTCAGATAAATAAAGCAGCAGCTCCATGTGAACAGAGAGATTTGTGTAAGTTAAATATAAAACAGAGATAAGGTCCCTGTTTCCTGTTTCACTCCACTGGGGCTGATGCTGAGGTCAACCTTCACTTTATCTTGTTTTTGCGTTTCCATATCTTGTCTCTGTTTTCATCTTTTATCTTCATACACTCGTCACGAAATGTAATCTGCTGCATAATAAGAATAAACTAGATATATTCACCATCACTATAAAGCTGGATATTCTGTTTTCTGAAGTGTAATGGGGGATAACTGGACTTTATTAAGCAAATTACTGTTTTGTCTTTTTTGTCTCTGTTTTGCTGGATTACAGAGGATAACTAGTCAAACAAATCAACATAAGAGTTAATTTATTTTCTTAATTTATTCATTTACATGTTAACAAAAAAAAAAGTCAAAACTGTAAATAATTTCACTAATTATTTTCTGTTGTACAATTGATTTTAAGGTAATTTTACCAAAAGATAAACTAGGCTAAGGTCATTATGAAATGTTGTTTAAATTGTATAAATGTTGATTATAATGTAAATCACTTTTTTTTTATCGGTACTTTTTTTGAGAAACTTGCTGCTAATTTACAAATTCTCCCTGTTTTGTTTAAATTCCAGATAACAACAAATAAAAACCCTTTTTAAAAATTATTAATTTACATATTAACTTTTTTTTAAGCCCAAACTGTAAATGTCTATATTTAATTCCTGTTTTACAATTAACTTTAACAAGTATTTTATGGTAACTTCAGCAAAAGATAAATCAGCCTGTGGTCATAAATTTACTGTGGTTTTTACACATTATTCTTTTTTAGTAAAATTACAGATATAGTCAGTAAAATCACTCAGAAGAAAAGTATTTATTTTCATGTTAACAATAAAAAACAGGCTGAAACCGTAAAGAATTCACATTTTTCAATTGATATTTATTTTGTACTACAGCTAGTTTATGGTCCTATGTCAGCATGTTGAACTGCAGACTTTATTGTATTATATTTATAATATTTTTTCCTTTATTAATCAGGTGATAATCTGTTAACTATCTAAGTCTTTTGTCTTTACAATAATGATTAATTTAAGATCTCCTGCTAACAGCTGTAAGGTACATACAGCAACTATTCCTAAACTGTTTTTAAAGTAGTTTTTTGCTGCCAGATGTTTGTTGTTTTTTTTCTTTCTGGTATCTTTACATGACTTCATGTTGGTATTCTTTCATTAGTGTCTAATAAGTCTTTCTCTCTGTAGTCCCATTTCAGATGGCGTTTAATAGACATCAGACTATGGGAAAGCCTAACAATTAGTGTAAGCCGAGTAGCAGAAACAATTAGTCCAGGCATGGGGAGTCTGCAGAGCTGCAGAGGCCCGAAAAAAGAAAAAGAAAAAAAATCCCGGGTGCAAACAAACTCCTGGTAAACACAGGCGCCTCATTAGCAGCTGAATGGATGATGAGCTGTCAGGTAACAAGTCTTGAGGACGCATGTCAATTTCCTTTAATGTTCTCAGCTACTTGTTAAACATGAAAGGGGGTGGGCGACGGTATATAAGACGTCTCTAATCTCCCTCCCCTAGCACCAGAGTTTGTCATTAACCGGCCTGAAACATGCGCACATTGGGAGCTCTGCGCATCGCGCTGCACGCATCTCTGCTGGCGCTGCTGCTGGCCCAGGAGACCCACCAGCCCCAGGAGACCCACCAGCCCCAGGAGATCCACCAGCCCCAGGAGACCCACCAGCCCCAGGACGGAGGCTCCGTGAGGCCGCTGCCCCGCTTCTCCACCACGGATCGACCCCCCGGGTATCACCTGCCCAGCTACATGATGCACCTCTACAGGAACTTCAGGTCGAACTCCTCCGGACCGGCGGATGCGATGGATGAGGACGCAGCGCGGCAGGCGGACACCGTGAAGAGCATCATGGCTAAAGGTGAGATGTGGCTCCTCCAGACCGGTGGGGTTTGTTCAATGAGCAGGGACGTCAAGAGAGAGGAGATGGAGTCAGACCTGTCCTCCACTCTTTAGATGTTTTAGATGTTAAGGGCTTTTTTTTTTTTTTGGCCTCTTAAGGCCAGACGACCTCAGAGGGCTTCAATCCACATCCAGGCGCACAGGCTGAATAACCATGCGCGGATCAGCGTGTGAAAAGGCCGGTTTTCTGTCTAATTCTCAAAGCAAACCTCTCTTTTCTTAAATAGGTGATGTTGATTAGACACCTCGCCAGACATCCCCCCTATACAAATCCCCTGGCAGCTCAAATCAACAACTGCCCTCAGTTCTTTCTTCACACTTGGCCTGATTAGATTAGAGGTCAGGATTTAATGGTGGCACAAGCAGCAGCTCTTCCCTGCTGCTGAATCCAATTTCACAAGGCTGCTAGGTGTCAGAGTTCCTACCTATTTGTTTGACTGAGGATATGCAGAAGCCAGGACGGGCAGAGATGTGTTAAGCGGCTGCTTCGGCCTCCGCGTTTGACTTTGAGTGGATTAATGGCCAGAGCTGGTTTGCACTTTTGATCAGGAGTCAGCAGGCCGATGCGCTCAACAAGGCACAAGTTAAATGTTTAAGATGCTTTAATCCTTTGGATTAATTTGAACCACACCTGTTCATTGAATCACAAAGACCTCCACCGATCACAGATGTGGGTGCAGGGCCGCTTGAACAATGACTGGATTACATCTGAGCAGCTTTGATTTGCTGATTAATCATGAAGCCCTGGAGGTGATTAATTATCAAAGGGAATTACATATGACACGCATTAGTCTCCTCATCTCATGTATGCTCACTGAAAGCTTCATGACTCAGCTGACGGCATCTGATTTGTGTTTTGCTGTGGATCCAACTCAAATGTTCTCTGTTTGGTTCTTATACAACTGTTAGAACTTTACATCAGCTTGTACAGACCATGAATATCACGGCAGCCTTGAGTTTCCAGTTATTCCTATTAATCTTAACTTAAATTTTCTGTCAGGATCAGTGGTTAAACATTCATCCAGGAGCTTTGATGGCTACAGAAAGTGTCTTGTTGAGGTGAAAATGGCCAAGAGGCTGTTAATCAGATAACTAGCATGTGTATTTTTGACCCAGCAGATTCTGTCTGATTTTAGTAATACATTTTTGAAAGAATGAAAATGCATGATTCGGTGATTCCATTACAGAAAGTTAAGAGTTATTTGAGACTGTCGTGATACATGTGGTCTTTATAAGTGTATGTACGCTTTGGTTCACATCTGTACATCCACCAAATCACAACAGCAGTCCACTGATTTGCATTTAGTGTTAGAAACATGGCTAAACTGTCACTATGTCATGATATCTTCTCAGGATTTATGTTGTATGTTAAGCTGTACCTCTACCTCCCACTAGCATATTAATGCATTTTTATAGATATAAACATTATGATGGTTTAGCTTCACATCTGCTGCTCATACATGAGCGTACATTTAGCATTTAGCACTTTCTACATGTTGCATCTTTTTGTTTGTGTGTTTTAGTGTCATGGTTCAGATGTTGAGCCTGATTCTGGTGTAATAAGCCCGTGGCGTGATGTGCAATGCTCACTTCATTTATGCTAATCCTTCTGGTTTTATCTCTCCAGCTTTGGCCTACAGACACCAGCACTGGGTGGTGACCTTTGACCTCCATGCCCTGCTGGCTGACCAGCAGATCCAGGCAGCAGAGCTGAGGATCAGGCCTCCTGGGAGGCCGAGCGCCGCCAACGTCACGGTGGAGGTGTACCACCAGCGTGGCCAGGAGCTGCAGCTGGTGGGGGAACTGGACGACTCGTCGCTGGTCAGGTCGTCGCAGAGCTGGAATGTGTTCAACATGACTGGTCCTCTCCTGAACTGGCTCAGTCAAAAGCCCACGACGAGAATGCGGCACAGGAGAGTGTCGAGGAAAAGGAAAGCGATGCTGAAGAAGAGAGGCCTGGATCAGCCGCTTCACGTGGTGAGCCCGAGGCCGGGGCACGACGTGAACGACCGCGCCCTGCTGCTCGTCTTCTCGCAAACGGCGTCGGACAAGAACCCGAAGGCCAAAGCCAGCTTGCTCCATACAGCCGAGCAATCCAAGTTCTTGTCTCCCGCCGAAATCAGAAAGGACCGCCGGCTGAGGGGGCGCAGGAGAAGACGGGGTCAGAGGGAACACACAGTGAGAGGCCTTCAGGTGACCGAAATAGGGATGGAAAGGCCTCTGTGTCGTAGAGTCGATCTGTATGTTGACTTTAGTCAGATAGGCTGGGGCTACTGGATCGTCTTTCCCAAAAGATACAACGCCTACCGCTGTGAGGGTTCCTGCCCCGGTCCTCTGGGAGAAGACATGAATCCAACGAACCACGCTTACATGCAAGTGAGTGGAACTGAAGCTTATCTATCTATCTATCTATCTATCTATCTATCTATCTATCTATCTATCTATCTATCTATCTATACATTTACGATATTTTAGATTCAGTACACTTAATTAAAAGTCTAGACACTGACCTACAGCCACAGTATTTGTATGTATCTCTGATAGACTGAGGTGGACCAGTTTCCCTGTTCAGAACTCACATTTACAGTAAATCTAAAATGACCTAAATGCAGCATAATGCTCGAGAATATATGAGGAAACAAAACAAACAAGTCAACAATATTGTGGGGGGGGGAAAAAAACCAACAGTAGAGCTGCAGGATCATTCAGTTAACAACTTGTTTGACAATCAAGTCATCTTTCAAACCAAACAAGGCTCATAATAAATGGATCCAGCATCTCAAAACTTAAGGATTTCACATGTTTAACTGTCGTATTTAATAGCTGAACAAATAAAACAACCTCGTATCTAACACTTTATAGATGAATCGATTCTTATTTAAATATCAGCTGCTTCCACAGATGTCAACTGAATCTATCTGGTGTTTTTAAAGTGGAATTATCTTTTATATTATAAATCCTCTGTTTTTTCCTCCAGAGTCTACTGAAACACTACCAACCCGACAGACTGGCATCGCCCTGCTGCGCCCCGACCAAAATGAGCTCGCTGAGCATGCTGTACTACGAGAACGGAGAAATGATCCTGCGACACCACGAGGAGATGGTTGTGGACGAGTGCGGCTGCCATTGACAGCGATAACCACCTCTACACACATTGCTCAGAAACACTGTGCACATGTGAGAAAAACAAAAGAGAACACTTAGCCTGAAGGAAAAAAACACACACAAAAAAATAAGCTCTTTGATATTTGTCGCTGTGCACTGTCAGTGACACGACTGGGATTTGTGATGTGGGCTCTGGTTTGTCTGGATATTTTAAAATGTGCTGAAACACAAAGTCAACAACAGCATCCAGCTGTTAATGTTAACGTTTATTCCTCTCATCAGTTTCATCAGTGTGAATATTCCAGCACTGTTTTTATCATACACGACCATTTGTGCTTCTGTAAATTAATGTGTATTTATTGTAAATAATAATAAAAATATTTATGTACAATTGGCCTACGTGTTTAAGAATGTGTAGAAATAATATCTGAGCTAATGTGGGTCTGGTTTCAGATCATAGCCGACGTTTTGGTACTAAAAATGTCTGTGGTGGTCAAGTAGGGAAGCTGGCAGCTACTGTTTTTTGAGATTTAAAATTTGGTTAATTTCAGCTTTTTTATTGCCAAGTGAGCTCTCACACACAAGGACTGTGGTGTGGTGACTGAGACTGGTACACAACAATAACAAGACAGGAATAAATATAGAAATATAGATCTGAGAAATTCAAAATAAAATATGTAGAAGAAAAGTATGAATAAAAAAGTACTATGAAAAGAGACATGAACCAAGTAATAAATTAGGAAACAGTTTAAATGACAATATTGCTGATGTAATGGTGATGCACAGAGGCAGTGCAGCAGGAGTCTTTAGTGGTTTACTGGCTGTTTATGACGGATAAAGTTTGATCCCACAATTCATCATTTTATTTGAGCTCCTGTGTGGCTTCATTAGTTCAATGAAAATCATGTTTTTATAGAAAACTACATCTATCTCTCACAGATTTGGGGACTAATACTGTTTAGCTATGCAGTACATAAGTGATTTGAACTGATCAGACAGCTTTCTGGTCAAATCAGCTGTTCTGTTTGGTCATATGAAGACACAACAGACCCGTCAGTGCTCACACAGACGCACCAGCACAGGAGGACTTTTCTAGTTTTAGGGTGTTTCGGTCACAGTGAGTCAGCCATAATAAAGCCTTGTATAGGGCAGAGATATCCAGCAAACGCTCCAAAGTGGCTGTTAGTCGTAACAAAGCTAAACTAAATTCTATTCTTGTGAAGCCAGACAGCTCATTGTATTGAAATCCTTTGAAAATACACCGACTGACTGACCAGGAATTTTCCAGAGTCACGGCCATGACGGTGGTCAGACTGGGAGTAGTTGACCAGGAGTCAGAGGTAAGACAGCATTGAACTTTCTAATGGCAGCCTCAGGGGAATATAGAAAAAAATCCTCATTACAATTTACTTTTGTTTTCTCTCAACAACAGATATTTAACTAGCAGCTATTGTGATCATTCATACATAAGTCATTTTTCAAGCAGAAATGCAAAACATTTGATCTGTCCAGCTTCTCAAATGAGGTAATTGTTAACTTAACAAGAAATGTCTTTAGAGTTTGGACAGAACAAGATATATTTAAGGGCGTTAACTTGAGTTTTGAGAAATCATGTCGTGTATTTTTTGGCCTAAAATATAAAAACTAAACAAAAAAATGTTTCCTTTGTAAATATAAAAAGGCTCACATTCACTTCTTTTAAAAAAAAAAACATATAATACTGACCTTCCATACCTTTATATTGATCCGTGAAGCTGCTGTTTTATTGATTTTATTGATATTGATTGATTTATGAGCTGTCTGCAACATCCCAGCGCAGGACTGACTCTCACCAACGGCCTGGCTAACTGTTAGCTTGTAGGCTAACGTTAGCTCAAGCGGTAGCACCGGTCGCGAAGCAATAACCACCGAGTTTATTCACTTATTTGCTTACAAACGGTGTATCAAGTAGGTTTTACTTGTCTAAGAACATTCCGGTGAATCAGCCTCTAACGGGCTAAAAATACACACTCACCCAGCTGGTTACGCCGCTGTAGCTAACATTAGCTAACACCGGCAGCTGCCAGGCTCTGTAACATTAGCCAGCCGTTTGCAGCCTATGGGTGAGTAGCTTCGTCCTCAGTGGAACACAAAATAAATCGTATTTTTATAAGTTTCTGTCCGTGGCAGGCCTAAGGTTTGGTTTTCCGATTAGCTGACTAAACTGTTTAGAAATGGGGACTTAGATGTTGTATAGCTAGCAGTAGTGGGTTAGTGGCTCAGTCAGAAGCAGAAGTAGAACATAACGGCTATAAATATTCTTATTTCTGTTGGTTTTCTGGTGTTTCACGTTGCTGTGGCTAAGTTAGTATTTATTAAAAAGTTTTGCTGAGTTGAAATAGGAAAAAACAACCTGTTGCAGGCCACTTTGCAATCTCACAGATTTTAAAACATTCTCAATATTTACCTGGTTTTCTTTACCATGACATTACTACAGAACTATTACAACATCTAGTATTCAGTATTTATGTTTGTTTTTTGTATCCAGTTCTGTGTCCAGTTGTATTAAATGAAACTTCTCTGCATAAATCAGTTCCTTAAAAAGCTCAAAATGTTGAATGTGGGCATTTTATTGATTATTGACATCTATTATTCTGACTTTTAGTTTTATTTATGATGCTTCACTGCCTCCTTTATTAGCTTGGTGACAGTGGGACACATGTATGTGATGATTTGGGAAAAATACCTAAAAGAAATTGCAATTTTTCTGACCGACATGCTTCAGCCAAATTATATCTGTGTAATATAGTTCAAACATGAATGAAAATAACTGCAGGACATACCATTACACAAGCAGGATGGTTGAAATGAGTGAAATGATTGACTCGATGGTTAAAAGTCAGAGTCAGACACGCTGCATGTTTCTGTCCTTTGTCATCTGCTCACTGCATTGTTTCAGTAGAGCTGCAGTGATTCATCAGTTAGTCATCAAACCCTTTTCAACCAATCTGGTTTGATTGTTGATTAATTGGCTTGAAGGAAATAATATTCTGAATATTCTCTGGTTTCCTCTGTGACAATAAACCGAATGTCTTTGGGTTGAGACCAAAACCCGACATTTGACGAGATCTCTTTGGGCTAATTGAGGACAGATTAATCAACAGTGAAATCAATCATTAGTCGTAGCCCTAGTTTGGCATCACATTTTTTGATTTTGAAAACTACTCAAGTGTTCAACTTACAGTTTCGCGTCCCTCGCTCGCCGTAGGCTCCTGTGGTCGATGGACAGAACCTGTGATCCATAAACAATACGATATAAAAATGCATGTTAGAATCTGTAATGTAGAAAATATAAGCAAAGAACACAGAAAGCACCGCCGTGATGCTGCCTCTGTGTTGCATGAAGCCTGAAAAATGAATGACTGCTGATGCATTATTACATGATACTGCATTAGAGGCGACTTACATGAAGTGTGTTCCAGTCACATAGGTGCAAGACGGCATCCAACAGGAATGACTGCAGCTTGTTCACAGTGCAAATACGTCAAAGCTTTTTCTCATGTGGCCTACAAGACATAAGAAAGTGCTGTCTTTGCTGGAAATGTGTGGTTTTAGCGTGAAGCCGAAGATAGGCAGTGACTGTGCTGCGCTGACTTCAGTGGGAAGCTGAGTGTGGAGGCAGCACAGAGAAGAGCCTTGACTGGAGCCGTGAACAGTTAGCCGCCGTAGTAATTGTCTGACGGTTCTCCAGCTTATATGAAAAGTATGTCAAAGTGTAATGTTGCATTATGTCCCTCAGGAGCAGTTACAGCGGAGAAAAAAATGGCCGAGGCAGTCGCAAATGTGGCCCGGAGGATTAATGCAACCGTAGAGGAGGGCAAAGATTGTTTGGGTAAGATTCCCTGCACACACATCTATTTAATCTCTCTTCAGCTCCAGAACATGTATTTATAACCCAGGTTTGGAGGCGATGTTATCTCAGGTTGTACCAGCAGGTGGTGACAGAGGCTTGACTTTGATGGTCTACTTTAAATTGTATATTTGGGTATTCAGCTCTTTCCCGCTGTGTTGATGCTCGATTATCTCATTACGGTTTCCTTCTTCTCCGCAGACCTGTCAGACTGCAAGCTCATTTCTTTCCCAGACGGTGTGTTCAAGGTCCTGAGGAGCGTCTCGGAAAACATCCGCGTTATCACGCTGGCTGACAACGAGATGAAGGCCATCTCTAGCAAGTTCTTTTCGACTTTCACTCAGCTCAGAGGTAGTGGATAAAGCACCACACAGATATTTGATTCCCCGCACGAAATGCATGAATTCAGTGTCGGAGGAAAGTGCTGTCGATCTCACACGCTGTTCACCTCGCAGATGTTGACAGGATGTCTTCATGCTGTGAGCCCAGTGCAGACAAGCTGCCCCTCCATTTACTCGTGTCTTGAAATACCTTGCAGAACTGGACCTGCGGGGAAATGTTCTCACCAAATTGCCCGACTCTGTTGGAGAAATGGAGCATCTGACCAGCATCAATCTGGCTAATAACAGCTTCTCGGACTTCCCTGATAAGCTGACTGAAATAGCCTCGCTGGAGAGGATTGACCTGGAGGGAAACAGCATCACTGGTAATAACAATATGCTAATGCATCCTATTTGTGTGAAATGCACGACTTGGTCTGAGCTCACTCTGTCATTTTCAATTTCGCTCGACAGAAATACCGCTGGAGAAGCTGGCCGCCATGCCGGCGCTCAAGTGGCTCAACGTGAAGTCGAACCCGTTGGACTCAAACACTCAGGCCGCTCTGCAAGCTCCCCAAAAGTTTGACGTTTTGTCAACAACAGGATCCTAAAATGTAGCGTGAAACATACGTCTCAGCGCCTATAGACTGCATGCTGTGTGCCTTTGACTACTTGGGTTGGTTCTGTGCCTGAGAGGTGAGAATAAAAAAATACTTGAAGACATCACAAAGCTGTACAAGGACCAGGAAGATGTGTGAGGATGACGTCTTGGGTTGAGCTGTCAGACCTGCTGGCCATCACACCCTGCTGCCTTTGGAGATTTTGGACTTTTGGACGTGAAATCAATCATTGTTGATGCACAATCTGACGTGTTTTTGTGTCAGATTGTAGATTCATAAGGGCTTATTTATTGATCTTGGTGGTATAATTAAAGATTATACTGAGGAAGCCGAGCAGTCTCGTGCCGTTATTTTTCACTGGGTGACAAAAACATCTCCTGCTGCGTGACGTCAGAGACCCACGAGCTCAACGTCAGTTTGTGATGCTTATTTTCTAACATGAACAATTATTGTGAATATTAATTAGTGCTTTTACCCCCTGAGCAGAGTTGTTCCTGATCAGAAATGAGGCAAATGATGTTAGGCTGCATAAATAAATCTGACTTTATACTGAGATTGCATTTAAAGTGTAGCTGAGGAACAGGAGGTTCTTTCAGTAAGAAGTTATTCAATTATTGCCGGTTAATTTTCTGCCGTTGGACTCATTGGTTGTATTAATGTTTATATTTGCATTCATCAAAGACCAACAGACTGGGATCCAAGTCTAATGAACAGCAAGAGAAACTTAGATTTTCACTGACTGTAACCCCATAAGACGACTACACCTGTATGTTTCCTGTAGCGCCTCCAGGCACCTGCTCACTGCTGCACGCTGGGCTGATGCTCATAACAGAACAAAAATCTTTAAAAGAGGCCCTAAAAACGTTCTGTGTACACCACAGAGACTTGATTCAGGGGATTTACAGGACAGAAACAGCATCAATGTTGGTCAAGCTCTTAAAGCTCCAGAGGCTTCTGCTGCTTTACACAAGAGCCATTCAAAGTATTTCACTCAGGCTTTTCAGGAATTCTTTAAATAGCAACGCCGCCAAGGCCGAACCGCCTAAGCTCATGTTTGTTTCAAGCTTTTATCAGCACTGAGGATCAACACGAAGGTGGTGATGCCTGATACGTACAGGATTCACTGGTGAACAAATGGAGTACAAAAGGATTGAAAAACGCGAGAGTAAGACGCCAGACGCTCCTACAAGTCATCCAAAAGGAAAAGTGCCGCGGCCAGGAGAAATATTTAGCACGGCGGCGAGCTTACAGCATCATGTGACTCCTGCTGCCCAGACCGTGACCTCGCGTCGTGCACCAGGATGCCCTCTGAATGCTTTAATTAGCTCTAACCGAAGAAACCTGCAGTCATTTTCACATTTTCTGCTGCTAGGATGTGGACATTAGGCTCTGTGTGGCTGCATGAATATCAATGATGCTCACAGCAGAAGCCTGAATGTGTTCTGGTTTCACAAAACTGCTTCTCTACGCAAACAGTTGCTCCATAATTCCTTATAACCACTAAATTTACAGACGATATTCATGTTAGCTGCTGGTATCAATAGTACCAACAAATCAGCATTTGTTTGTGATACTAAAGTTAATTGCACCGTGTTGTTTGGTGTTTGAATGAACTGTGTTGTTAATTAAACTGCTAATAGCTCCACACACTGAAACTATTTACTGTTGTTTCTGCATTTGGATGCTTGTAATGCATTCATGTAGCCTGCACACGTAATGATGCAAAACATTCAGGTGAATTAGTCGTCTTATTAGCTGCACTACAGTAAAAATTAAATGGATTTCAATCAGTGCAATTATAAGATTTAACCTCTTAAGACCTGGAATCAGCATGTGTGGACAGTATTTTCAATATTTTATTATTGTTATTATTTAATTTTTATTTTTTATTACATTTTTAATTTTTTAAAATAGATTTATGTATATATGTATAATTTTTTTTTTTTTTTTTTTAAATTTTGTATTCTCTGCTTTTTGATCTGTTCAAATAGCAAAGACAGATTTTTTAAAAAATGCATATCAAACAAGAGCTCGGGTCTTAAGAGGTTCATAACTTTCTTTGACATAAAAAATTAAAGCAAAAAAAACTCACAAAAAAGAAGAAACTATAACAGTTTTACTATTATTCAGAATGTTCATACTCTCAGAGCTGTTTAAAACTTCCAAACATGATCACGAGATTATTGAAGTAATGGGTTTCAGGAGAAAAAAAAAATACGAATTAAATATTTATATACATAATGTTTCTAAAAATAGGTCCATTAGTGTTATCAAACAGCCACACGGTGAATCTTGGGAGGCCAGAAGTCACAACGCGGCCGCATCACCTAATCCTGCCTCCTTAATTGGTTTACAGCTTACACCAGTCAGCTCCATCTGTTTTCATCTGAAAAGAGCTCTCAGGAGCCACAGCTTACGAGAGCCAAATGGAAAACAAGTCACTCCACACGCAAAGGTACAAACTTCACATCAGAAAGCACGGGGACAAGTGGCAATAACGGGGGATTAGCGGCTGATTGCTGCTGTGAGCGACTCTGCTGCTCGCTGGGGTTTGTTTACCCTGGTTAGCTACAGATGCCAGTGTTGGATGGGATGCAGGGAGGATGCAGGAGCTGGCTCTGCAGCCCCGCTGTCACATGCAGGTTTCCTAACCCTCGGCTTAAGCAGTGCGCATGCCTGCCCCTCTGCCTCAGTGACTGTCTGTTGGTTTGGAGCTCCTCAGTCCTGCCGAGTTAGTGAGCGGACAGCACTGGGAGGCAAACATGAGCTTCAGCGTGGAGGAGAGGGGCAGGCCCAACACCCAGGACTACAGGGTGTTTTTCAGTAAGCCTTCTGAACCAGCTAGTCTGTCTGTTGGTTTATCATGTAGTCGTTTGGCTTTGTAGCACAGCAGCTGCAGTAACTGAGCTGGCAAGTAGATGTAGAACTGCATAAACGAGATCCCTTCAATTCGCTCTGAAAACGCATCGCTTCTTTTTATAGAGAACTCCCAGGGCAAATACATCTCTCCCTTTCATGATATACCCATCTACGCTAACGAAGCACAGGTGAGCATAGTGTTTCTCTGTTTTCTGCAATTTTCTGGTAAAAAAAACTCCAGCCTTTGCTACTCAGTTTTGTCCAATTGAGCACCTAAATGTGCTAAAATGTGCCTTTTACCAGCTGTGTTGCATCAGGCCTTTATCACAGAAGATTGCATTACCCTTTATCCTGTCTGCTGGCTGTTTTGGCTCCAGGACGGTGCACACAATGAGAAAATCACCACGGCCACCGATCACCGGGTGTAATTGTTCCTCTGCGGTGGTGGACAGATGTTTTCTCCTCTTTTCCACCCAGGAGCAATAATCATTGGGCTGCTTTTACTTCCTGCACCCTTTGATTCAGATTTAAAACTGCCATCACACTGGGACTTAACTGTGGAAAAAAAAAGAAAAGTTTAATATCACAGGTTCAAGCAAGATGGTGAAATTAGTTTTCAAAATAAAAGCACTTGTTCCCACCAATTTAGGGAGCCATGTCGGTAGTATGTTAGTTATGTTTGGTACTTATATTTAGTACAAATAGACATCTGTTTTTTAAGCACAGTAGATATCAGCAAGTTTGATATCTGAGATGCAAAGCTGGAGATTGTCTTCTGGTTTCTAATGAATGTCATGATGCAGGTTTTATTTGACAAGTTTTATAGCGTCTGATGAAACAAATCGATTCAGAATCATTGATAATCACGGAAACACAAATGCATTAATTATCATTTTGCAGAATATCTTCCATGCTGTTGTGGAAGTTCCAAGATGGACAAATGCAAAGATGGAGGTAGATATGTTTCATATATTTCTACGATTCGTGATCGTTTCTAATACTCCATAAATATCGATGGTTAAAAATTCACATTGTTATTATTATTTTAGTTGACACATTTATCTGCGTATTTAAGCTGAAGATCTGATGCATGACGTTAGATTGTAAAACATTTGTGATCTGAAATGCTGCTGAAGAATTAAGTACATTTTACTTTGAAGGTTCAGTTACACATTTTTCCTGTCTCTAACTTTGTTTCTCAGATTGCCACCAAAGACCAGCTCAATCCGCTCATACAGGACGTGAAGAAGGGAAACCTTCGCTATGTGGCCAACGTGTTTCCCCACAAAGGTTACATCTGGAACTATGGAGCGATTCCACAGGCAAGTCCTGCTCAGACTGCTTGTCTTTAAACAACAGGAAGCCAGGATGTGGTTCTGTTGGACTGAACATGCACTCTGTCTCTAAACAGACGTGGGAAGATCCCAACCACAAGGACGGCGACACCGGATGCTGTGGAGACAACGACCCGATTGATATTTGTGACATAGGAAACAAGGTAGTGGATCGTCTCTGATTGTGAGACTTATTTAAATCCCACCGTTTGCAGCCTTTTTCAGAAACGTGTTCTTTGATTCTCAGGTGTGCTCTCGAGGAGAAATAATCAAAGTGAAGGTGTTGGGAACTCTGGCTTTGATCGATGAGGGTGAAACAGATTGGAAAGTCATCGTGATCAATACCGAGGACCCGGAAGCTGGAGACTTTAACGGTGGGAGCAGCCTGCAGTAGAACACGCTGCAGCTACACCAGGCTTCTGTCTTTTAAACTTTGATTTCTCTCATGTTGCTGCAGATATTGATGATGTGAGACGGCTTAAACCCGGATATCTGGAGGCAACAGTTGATTGGTTCAAACGGTACAAAGTCCCAGATGGGAAACCTGAGAACCAGTTTGCCTTCAATGGAGAGTTCAAGGACAGGGTACGCCTCTTTGAGACTTCACTTTGTGTTTTTGAAATGTTCCGGCGTCAGACTTTACACAGCTTCTGAAGCAGCTTCTCATCTGCATCTGATCTGCTCCATCAAAGACAAAACTTGAGTTTATATCAGCAGAATAAACGCGTTTTCACTGAGAAACTTCTGCATAGAACTCCACCCACGCTCGTATCCGCCTCCTTCTTTCCTGATATGTTAATGTGAAAATGTGTTTTCCAGGACTTTGCCATCAAGACGGTGAAGAGCACTCATGAGTTCTGGAAGGCCCTGATTTCTAAGCAGACCAACGCCGGAGGGTTGAACTGGTGAATCCCACAAACGCTCTTCTATGTAGACAGCATGTGAAAGCAAATAATGTGCTTCAGACACTTAGAAGTCGACAGATTGTGGCATATAATTAGCTAAATATAATGCTGCTACACAATAGGACTTAGCTGCTGTGTTTATGGGCTGTGAAGGGCCTTCTTATTGCCCTTTTTGGGGTAAGAAGCAGCAGATTATTGTGTCTTCTTTATTAATAAAAGATCTCCCTCTCTCTGCGTTTCAGCATGAACACCAGCGTCTCAGACAGTCCGTTCTGCTGCTCCGCCGCTGATGCCGAGGCTGTTGTTAAGTCTGTAAGTCTATGATTATCCCGTCCTTAATGACAATATAGACCATAACCTGGCAGCGCACACGCCTTCACACAACAGCAGAGCGTAATTAGCGAAGCGCCCGGAGACACAGAAATGCTAAAGGTGGATTCTTTCTTTTCACTCCAGCTGATTCATTAGGCGACAGAGGAGCGTTTCGTTTGAGGTTGAACAGAAACGAGCATTTTAGAACAGAACCAGTGAAAGGACCTTCATCCCGACAGCGTTTAATGAATCCAAAATATCAAAGCAGGTGTTCCTCTGACCTCTGAAGGTAATCTGCTGAGCTGAAGTAGCACCATTTAATGACTTTGTTAACTCTTGCAGGCGAGTGCGTTTGGAGCTGAAGAGCCCATCCCTAGTTCAGGTGGGTGTTTATTTCATTTACCGCAGCATCTTAGTTTTCTCTGTGAAATCACACATATTTGAGCTTTTTTAAAATTTTTTGTTTCAGTTGACAAATGGTTCTACTACGAGAAGTAACGAGGTCATGAAGCAGAAACATGAAGATGCGAATTCATCCTCCTTCATCTGATTTCAGCAGCACTCATACCGAGCAGACTGGATTTTATATTCAATGTCTTCTCTGTTCACACCTGGATGGCTGAGGGTTTTATAGGTAAAGCTGCTTGTCGTGTGATTGTTTCAGATTCTTTGACATCGTTTATCTTTACTGTACATTAGCCCTCAATTTCATGAGTGTCAGTCTCCTCTAATAAACTGCTCTCAGCCTGGCATCGTGTGCTTTGTACTGATTACATTCTGTCTGGTACATGCTGTGATCATCATTTAGACCTGTGGCTACTTACAGAATATGGATCTAAAGTGGATAATGGTATCCTGATTTGATAAGACCTGCTCCGTCTGTAATCTTTGACAAGAGGAACAGGCACCCATTTTTAGCACAGCACAATAATTCATTTGAGCGTATTGCCTGATGGCAAATCCAATAAATGATGAACTTGGTGTTCTTGAAATCTAATAGCTACTTAACAGTACAAATGGCTGGTTATGAAAAGTCCTTAACTGTGAGTGAAAAGGCCTGAGGGATGCTTCTGCAGGCCGCAATTAAACAATAAGCTCCAATAAGCACTTTAAGTCTTTACAATGTGGTCAGAAACTATAGTTACAACCAAAAGGGGCTCGTATGGAGCCGACAGGATGGGTTCATAATGACATAATGCTGACTGAGCAACTTAATAAAACAGAAGAGGTTGTTCTCTGAAGTGGAATAAGCCTTCAGTGAGCCACATCATTTCTAAGAACATTCAAAGCAATTCAAAGGGACTGTAGACGAAAAATGTAGGATGAAACAGAGAGAAGTCAAATGTAATAAGATGGAACTGACCTGGGGATTTTACAAGCAGCTGGTGCACATCTTCTTCTGCAAATAAAAGAAGAGCACACAAGTGTAATGAATATATGGACTTAGACACAGTTCTTCCTTATTTGTAGATGATTTCTTTATACGGTCAACACTTGTACATAACAGTGAAAGACACTTCTTTCACTTTATTGGTCAGCAATCTGTTACAGTTTTAGAAGACGTACTAAAAACCTTTACTCAGGTAGAAGTACATCATTGTATGAATATGCCATTAAAAGTAAAAACCATGCATTCAAAATCCTACATTTAAGTAAAAATACACACAATATAATGGCCAAGGGGCTGCAAGGTGGTTCAGTGGTTAGCACCATGGCCTCGCAGCTAGAAGGTGGTCGGTTGGTGTCGCGGTGAGGACACCCGGGATCTTCCTGCGTGGAGTCTCCATGTTCTCCCCGTGCAGTGTGGGTTCTCTCCAGGTTCTCCGGCTTCCTCCCACAGTCCAGAAACATGCTGAGATTAACTGGTGATTCTCTGTCTCTATGTGTAGCCCTGTGATAGACTGGTTACCTGTCCAGGTGAACCTGCCTTCATCCTGAGTCAGCTGGGATAGACTCCAGCCCCCCATGACCTTAGTGAGGATTAAGGGATAGAGATAATGGATGGATAATGGCTCAGTATCAAAGGTGAGAGCACTTGTCATTTATTATTTACACTGCTGGGATCTTGATACTAATGCATAAGTTCAGTTTAACTCCTGCGGCTGTTGAAGGTGCAACGATTTACTTTACAAACAATCAGAGATGTGATTCACGTACCGGTGGGTCATGAAGTCATTCTGAAGGGTTGTGAAATGACTACCAGGGCAGGAAAAGAAAAAAAAACAAAGATCTGCTGCACTTTTCTGTAAGCCTGGATAATTGTATTATTAATGGGGGCTCAAAAAGTATTAAAATAAAACCGTGTCAGAAACTGAGAAGGGAATCCAGCCTTTGGTGAAAGTGCACACACACCGTGGGATCTATGAAAAAGGAAGAAATACAAAGAGTCAAAAATAGTTTGAAGCGCAGTAGTCAAGATGCATCAGACAAATCTGTACAAAGCTACAGAACCAGTCCTCATTTTCTGTTATTTGTCACAAATTTGTATCTGAGTTTAGAAATATATTTACAGTAATAAACCTTAATTCAACACTTAAATTAAAATAATGAAAGAATAAAAAAAATAAAAGGAAAATTATAATATATTTTCAAATGTACTTTAGGGAGAACTGTAGTTTTCTCTTTAAAAAAATAACAATAAAAAGGGAAATATTATGACTTTTAATAGCTACAGATTTTTAATGTCATTTTTTGTAAACTCACTATTTTATAAAACTTTACAGGTTTTTTGTGCATTTTAAAAATACATGGAAACAATGTAAAATAAAGAGAAACTATTCCACCAAAGTTTATTTACTTTATGTGTTCCTACCAGGATGGGTTGTTTCTCCCTGACTGTCCGCCATTGAAGGGAGGCGCTAGTGAGTAAACGGTTTGTCAGTCGCCCAAATAGAAACCACGAAGAAGAAGAGGAGGCCCTCTGATTGACTGTTTCCAAGGAGACCACCGATACTACCGAAAAGCTGGGCTGCTGGTCAGTGCTGTAGGTAAGAGAACTGAACTTTATTTAACGTAACACTTCCAAACACCGACACGTTCTGCCGGTTACGTCTCTGAACGACCGGTTCGCTCGCTGCTGGCTGTTTATTAAGCGTATTTTCTGGCCCACGTAAGGGCCAAACTGTAGAAAGAGCCAGAAGTTAGCTAACATGCTCATGCTAACTAGCTAACCAGCGTAATGTAGCTCCTGTTATGTCGGTTTAAATGCTCACACAAGTCACACCGAAATAGGCTAAATGACAGCAAGGCCACAGTTACGTCGGTGTTTTTTAAAGATGGCATATCACATCGGTGTCGACTGTAACTGTCGTTTCACAGTGTGTCAAGAAGATTAACAAATAGCAGCGATATTAATTAGAAATGCTCTTGAAGCTAATCAGTCATTTACGGGGACCTGTTGCCTGCGTTCAGGTGGATTCATCATCACAGGCACGATCCCTGATCATAAGTACAAATGTCGTCTAAATGACCCATTAGCCTTTGTGAACGTTTGGTTAGCATACCCGTTAGCCGCGTGCTAAACGTCTGGATGGAGGTGGTGGTATGTCCTGGATATCTAGAGCTGGATGCTGTCATGTGTGAAGCTAGCACACCTTTTTTCGATTTAAACTTCAATAACAGGAAACGCACAGGTGGAATAAATCTGCTGAATAATAGCCCAGTTCAATCAGGTGTCTTAGTAAGTCCTCACAATAAGCAAACATGCACAAAACTGGAGCTCCTAGATCAACTGATATTGGACTTAAAATGTCATCCATCACACCTGTGTCATGTCAGGACAAAATGGCCTCAGTTAGAAAGGTCTGTTGTTCTGCAAACCGTAGACATAGCGATGAATCCTGCAGCATTTTATTGTTCACACTGTGTAAGCAGGAGACAAACACAAACTCTCTGATATTAAATCATTCAAAAACACTGAGCTTTTACTGCTGGCTGCTAACATAATCCTATTTTCTGGCACTTTTTCTGCATAATGTTGATGGATGTTTCTAATATTTTGTCCTCCTTACACAGAAGCACAAACAAAACTTTTGATAAAACGCACAATAACAGCTGTGACCTGAAAAATTAGGAGCACGACCGAACAAGCGGCGTAAAAGCAGGCGTGTCTGTGTTCCTGTAACTCTTTGCAGGATGATGGAGTAACCTGTGCTTTTTCTTGCTTCAGGCGCACACTGTCAAGATGTCATTTTTATTCGACTGGATCTACAGGGGCTTTAGTAGTGTTTTACAGTTCTTGGGTAAGTATTGCCTGCCGGCCTGCAATGATTTCACAGTGGCAGAAAAGTATTGAAATCCTGAGCTTGGTGCGGATTGTTAAATTATTTACATGTCAGCGGTATTCAAGTGTTGTATGTGCTCCAGACAGCGCAAACCCAAATAACCTGAAGTCATGAAGCGCTGCAGAGTTGTGAATGGAAAAACAGGCTGCAGTAATCTATATTCATGAGGAATAAAACGTATAGCAATTCTTCAGTTTTTGCTTCCTTCCAGGCCTGTACAAGAAGTCTGGGAAGCTAGTTTTCCTCGGCCTGGACAATGCTGGTAAAACAACGCTCCTCCACATGCTGAAGGATGACCGACTTGGACAGCATGTGCCAACGCTGCATCCAAGTAAGGAGAGATTTGTGTTTAGAGATGTGACTGGTGTTGATTAAGATTGTTATTATTATACCATGGGCTGTTATTTAGCTATTTTCTGAAAATATCAAACGTACTGTATGATGTTGTCTTTGTGTTTGCACCGCCTAAGAAATTTAGTGCAACCCAAAACTGCTAATTATGTAGTAAATGAAATGATTGTGGGCTGCAAGGTGGCTCAGTGGTTAGCACCGTTGCCGGTTGGCGTCCCGGTGAGGACACCCAGGATCTTTCTGCGTGGAGTCTCCATGTTCTCCCCGTGCAGCGTGGGTTCTCTCCGGGTTCTCCGGCTTCCTCCCACAGTCCAGAAACATGCTGAGGTTAATTGGTGATTCTAAATTGTCCGTAGGTGTGAATGTGAGTGTGCTTGGTTGTCTGTCTCTAAGTGTAGCCCTGTGATAGACTGGTTACCTGTCCAGGTGAACCTGCCTTCACCCTGAGTCAGTTTTTGACAAATCTTTTGATTTCTAGTCAAACAGTCACAGATATAAAAGGCTGTTTTATTTCCTTCCTCACACAGCTTCAGAGGAGCTGACGATCGGAGGGATGACGTTCACCACATTTGATCTGGGAGGACACGTACAAGGTAAGATCTGTCCTCCTGTCTGCTAGCAATGAAACACTATGGAATTGCTGTGTTTTCTCTTGCCAGCAGTTCTTGGCAAAATCTCACATTAAGCAAGCAAATACACTCTTCTCAGTTTTTTGAAGGTCATTCTTCCACATGTTTAAATTGTCTTAGCACGACCTCAACGTTATGTGGATGTGTCATACATGATCAGACTAACTCATACATTCACCATCGTGTAGTTGCACTATTGTTGTGATAAAGTGCAAAAAAAAACATCATTAAAGAGTAAAGAAAAACTGCTCCTAGATCACAAAATACAGCTGTGGTTAGCTGTCAGTTATAAAGCTTAAGATTAGTGAGTCTGTTTTTTCACTTTTCACTGCCAGGAGTCACTACTGTCATCAGAAACCTGAAAACAGACATCAGTTCTCATGGCTGCCACATGGTGTCTCTACAGGCCCCACGGCGGATCTGTTGTCATTATGTGTGATTTAACATTTTTGTGGGTGCAAATCATCTCAGATAGACTTTCTGAGCCGCCTGGTGTTTTGCACACATTTGAACAGATGAGCCTATGTGGAGGTGGTACTAGTGCTAGAGATGTACATGAAGAACAACAGCCACAGTATTCTAACTCTCTTGACGAAACCACAGCCTCATATTTGCCTTGTACAGTCAAACCAAAGTCCTATTGTTCACTTACGTTGTCTGAGACCATCTTTCATCATCGGTATTAGTTCACAGGGTTGGTGACGTTAATTTCCAGCGTAGCTTCAAAACCAGCTTCCAACTAACTGGTCAGATTAGCTGAGAACAGTCGGTATGTATTCAGTTAAATGTCGTTATATATGAGCACCTGTGAACCGGCAGACTTCTAAATTAAATATTGATTATGATTTCACACAGACACAGCGAAGGACACAATTAAATTTTTATCAGTTCAGGGAGAGAGGAGAGAACTTCACCATCTAGTCGAATCGCTGCAGCAACAGCTAACGCACAAACCGTCCTTCCTGCGTTGACAGCTCGACGAGTCTGGAAGAACTACCTGCCGGCTGTGAACGGAGTCGTCTTTCTGGTGGACTGCGCGGATCACGACAGACTCACGGAATCCAAGACTGAACTTGATGTAAGATTAAACATTTGCTGTGCTGACTGTTGTTTCCTCACAGCGGATTAACGATGATTCTGCTGCCGTGTCGTTGATTTTAGGCTCTGCTAGCAGACGAGACCATCGTCAACGTACCGGTGTTGGTGTTGGGTAATAAAATCGACCGCCCTGAAGCCATCAGTGAAGGAGGGCTGAGAGGAGCTTTTGCTCTCGATGGTCAAGTTACTGGAAAGGTAGGCGACATAAGGAGGACTGATTGTTTTATGAATACAGCCTCTCTGCATGTGTGGGTCCTGCTACCTGCTGACTGTCGTCCTCATTCATCCTTCTTGTTGTTGACAGGGAAATGTCTCTTTGAAGGAGATCAACGTTCGCCCGCTGGAGATTTTCATGTGCAGCGTGTTGAAGAAACAAGGCTACGGGGAAGGTTTCAGATGGTTATCTCAGTACATCGACTGACATGCACAAGTCGAGCTTAACCAGAAGGGATTTAATTGACACATCCTCGTGAAGCATGACAGAGAGTTTGTCCCTTTGTCAGCGACAGCCATCCCAAATTCCAAGTCGTATTATTTCGAGTGTATCCCGTTTAATCCTTAAATTCTTCTATGCAAACTTTTCACAGTGGTTACTGGTGAACTGCCCTAAATGCGTAATTACTGCGAGAGCTAATTGAGTTGCTTGGCATGTTGATTAGGTTACATCACACCTGATTACAATACGTGAGCAGCCAGACATTATGCAAGAATGTAGATGTTTTCGCTTCAGCGTCGCAGTATTTATTATTTAATAGACCAACAGCTTGATTGGCGAGCGCGTAATGAAACGTAAGGACTCGTGGTGATTGTGTTGAGCCGCTTCATGCTTGTCTGACATCAAATTAAGATGGCTGAGATTAGATTTTAAAACGATTAAGTAGACAAATGACTAAATAGAGGAGATTAATTTTACTTCATTTAATCTGAAGATATGCAGCCTCTGCCTTCAAAGCATAAAGCCAAAGATGTATTCTGACTGCAGGATTAGGAGAGAGAGAGAGATTCAACAAAAGACGTCTTCTGTGTCGAGCGCTGAGCCAAAACAACGTCAGAATCCCCGTTCCTTCAGAAACCCCCCGAAACAGGAGAAAAGACAAACAAAGGCAGAGCCGATGGAGTCAAATTAGGCAGCTCACCGATGACTGCGCCGTGATTAACGCGCCGCTCGCTGTCGGTGAGATTTGGCTTGTTTATTTTTGTTACAAGAACTACATTATAAACCATAAAGTCGAAGGCAGCTAATCTGAGACGTGTGAGTCGGGCTGATGGACGTCTTTATTATCTTACTGTGGGACGTACAGCGAGGACTTCACAGATAAAACGTTCATTCAGAGCTCGGCTCTCCACGACTGTCCTGGCTTTACTGTATCATGAGGGCAGTGATAATAAATTACTCTTAAAATGTCAGGAAGCAATAAAGCAGAATAACCAGCTGTGGTGTAGCAGAGACACTCTTACTCCGCTTGAGAGTAGGAAAAAAAAAACACGTAGTTCTGAGTCTTCTTATGGAAATCTGCTCATCTGTTAGTGATAATTAATGTCTGCTTAGCACTGGATGTGTGTTTAGTTGAACCGAGCGTAGATTATTGGCAATACTTTAAATAAGAGCCTAAAATTAAAGGTTAATTTCTTGTTTGTTCCTTCATTCCAGAGCCATATACTGACATGTAATCAGCATGTACGACTTTACAGCAGGTGATGTACTTTTTGACTGTCTAACAGACAGGAGAGTGCACCTGCACACTGTAATATGCTCAGCTGAAAAATCAGTGTTCCAGTCTTATAGTGTTGTTCTGAGTCCACGCATGCCAACATGCTTAGATTTTTACAGTGAGCTGCATAAACGTGCATCCTCATTACGAGGAGCTCGAAATGCATAATCAGGAAGAGAAGCATGCGACCTTTATACCTTATCGACTGTTTCCTGCATCCCTCGTTCACAGGGTCACATTTTCAGTATTCTGTTTGATAAACGCAGGAAAAAGAAAAACAACAAAAAAACAACTAAGATATATGTGAAAACAGATTTTATACAGAGAGGACTTAAGTGTTTATTGAAATGTTGTATGCATGTAAACAAGCTGCTTTTCCTTTGAACAGTGTTCTGTACTGGTTGCTGAACTCCTGTAAATTATGTATCATACGGATGTAAATGCTTGTACAGTAACTGCCCTGGAGCTGACACTATAAAGCACTGGAGTTATTTATAACTGTCTATTACTTGAATTCATGTTTTCCGCTGTTATCTGTACAAATAGAGTTAACGACAACATCCGCACAGAAATCCAAGTGAGTCTTTGGTCCATTTAATAAGTGGTTGAAATAAAACAGTCCTTTTATAGATCCATCGCGGCGTGTCATACTTTGCTTTTGTTTGGTTTTTTTTCCACATACTCGAGTTCCATATTCAGAGTTAGTAAAAATGCTTTTACTCTCAGAAACTGAGAAGCTCGTATTTTGAATTTGTAAATTAATCTTATGAGCTCATCACAGTAAATCAATTCAGCCTCATCACTGATAGAGAATCCAGGTATCAGAGGTAGAAATCATTGACTCATGATCCTCTTCCTTTAGTTATTCGCTCTGCTGTGGCGTCCCTCAGGGCTCCGTCCTAGGCCTCATGTTATTCTCTGACAGTGTTTATTACAGAAGCTATAAAGAATATTTACCTCTATTGCAATTTTCATATCAAAAGCAAAGTTTTAGTTAATTTTTTGTGGACTTAATTTGGCAGCTGTGGCTCAGGTGGTAGAGCGGTTGTCCTCTAATCGCAGGGTTCGATCCCCCGACCCTCCACAGTCAAAGTGGCAAGACACTGAACCCGAAGTTGCTCCTGACGGCAGGCGGCGCCTTGCATGACAGCTCTGTCACCATTGGTGGATGAATGGGTGAATGAGAAACCCATTTGAGTAGCACTAAGGTAGAAAAGCTCTGTCAGTGCAGACCATTTACCATTTTAATGTTATTGCGAAAGCTGATTTCTTTCAAACAGCAAACAAAAACCCTGTTTAGACCGATAGAGTAAGGACGGCGGTAAAATTGCAAAGTTGAAGGCTGTTATTTGCTGGAGATGCGTCCTAATTACTGACTTGTGGGTGGTCAGTGCTCCTGTGATGGATTCGTTTCCCTCCTATAGGCTCCGTCTGCACCTCCTGTGTGCTCTTACTGAGCCATCAGCCAGTGTGAAGCCACAAGGCTGCAATCTTGGGAGTAATTTTTTGGTTCAGACCTGTCATTAGACGCTCAAGTAACTGGAGTGGTGCCGTCGTGTTTTTTTGTTCAGCCGAAAGCCCAACGCTCGGATTTTCTCTTCGCTCTCCAGCGTTTAGAAAGGCTTTGATGCTTTTATCTCCGAGCCTAATTATTGTGATATTGTAATATCAGCAGACTGCAGCTACTGGAGAGTGCTGCTGCCAGGCCTCCAACACTCTCCAAGAGAAGTGGCCACATTAACTCAGTTCTTCCTGCTGTTCACTTGCTGCCTGTCACTTTGTGTTCCAGATTATCTTAAATTCGCACTGCTTGCTTTTAAAACGCTGCTCATGCGTGGATGTGCTGAAACTCTGTGAGTGCAATCCAGGACTTTCGCTTATGGTGCGTTCGTTAATTAAAGAAACGCAAACGGATATAGACAAGGCCAGTTTTCTAATCTGCGTGACCTCTGACAGTGTTGTCTTTCACGTTGGTCATTCAGCGTTTGCGCCATCTGGCAGCCAACTGCTGTAATTTGTTCTTCTAGCATGAGGTGGCAGCTGAGCTCCAAAATATCCCAGCAAACATGCCCATCTGCCAGCAAGAGAAGCGACTCGGGGAGGACTCCTCGCTTTTTCAACATCCTCTTTGTTTTCATTCCACGACAGACTCCGCGATGACTTTGCGCTTAGCTAATACCTCGTCAAACACAATCAGTTGTAGAGACAGCTGTAACAGGCCTTAGCCGGAACGATGCGGCGCGCACCAGGTGGGGGGAAGCAAAGATCACCAGGAAGCAGTTCTGTTCTCCAAAATATTCATATTTACACAACCTGCTCGTGTTTAACAAGCAGAGAACGGCGGCGGGCTGCTGGAAACAGTGTCTGCTCATTTGTGCTGAATGTCTGCTTTTTCAAATCGAGGGCTAAATTTAAAAAGAAACGGAGGTGAAATAAAACAGCTGCAGTCGGTGATACGCATCCTCTCCTGACCGCCGGAGAGGCCAATCAGCCGGGCTTTAGGTTATAATTTTCATTTAATTTCCCCGCAGGCAGAATCGCCTAAAAACACGCTCATGGATAAATATAAAAAGACAGCGTGCGACAGCCGGCATCCCCGTCTAATGTCTCTCCAGGTGAGGCCTGAAACATTCAGAAAAGATTAAAAGTCGACGTACAACTTGGCTCCGGTGCCTTTATTAGTAAAGTGCTCAGCCTAGAAGTACATTCTTAATCACTAACATGCAATACTAAAAACGAACAAATGTCTGGCCTATCGATAGCGTGGATGGAGACGACGATATTCTCATAGAAAAAAACAAAGAAAGAAAAAAAAATACAGTGCAAATTCAAGTATACACACAGAACTTCAAGTAATGCACATTTTATATATATATAAATGTATGTATATATATATATATATATATATAAACACAAAATACAGTATTTCAAGTTGCAAACGCAGAAAGTTGTGGCACATTCTTTGACATGAGAGTTAGCAGAGGACTAGTGGTTTCTACGATGGGTGCAGATTTGTGTGGTTACAGTACATTCTACAGGTTTGTCATAAAAGTAATCCGACTACAAACGTAGGTCCTGTATAGATGTGTGTGTGTGTGTGTGTGTGTCCAGTTAATTCATAAAACATGTACAATTTAAAAACTGCCAGGAGCGTCTTTTCTTGTCGCCTGAAACCACAGGAACCTGAAATCCTCGCAGCTCGTTTACACTGGATTTATATACAAGATCAGTTTGTTTTTTTTGAAACACCGCGTTGTGCTGAACTGCTTTGAAAGGAATGGTTTGACTTTTTTTTGGCAAATGTGCTCGTTTGCTCTGCAGCGAGTCGCCCGTTCATCACCATGAAATAAGTTGGTTCTTTGGGGGGCAGTTCAGGCGGTAGAACAACAAAACCACCGGCTGACGGAGTGAACACAGCACCCAGACATTATTATTCATCATCACCGTGTTTCTGTAAATCCAATATTTACTCCTTTTTAGTTATGATTTGGTTTCTTATCAACTCCTGAGGGAGCTATCGGGCTCTTAAGCTGCTAAATGCTTCGCTGCACTGTAGTCATTTTATATTTCTAGTTTAATTTATACATAAAGTAAAGAAATGTCTATTTCCATTGTGACAGGTGTGAGATTGTTCCTCTCAGTGACTTAATGACTAGTCTGGCATTTTTACTCTAACGGAAACCCAAACAAACAGCGTATAAGATGCTTTCTGCAGCCATTTCTCTGCAGCTTTCTGGTCTTTATGCAAGCACCAAGTATTGATCTTCTTATCTAACCTCCTGCAAGGAAACAAACAAGCACTATTTGCCGAAATGTCGAACCGTTTGTTGATTTCTGATCTCTAGTCATTCCAGCGGGACGGCATCTCTAATACTCAAGCAACTGTTCACACAATACAAAATTACTGGTAATCTCTATATGCATAGATGGCGGTCGGACGAGATAGGAATTCTGATGGACTCTAGCTACCTACGGCGCAGTAGTCGGTGGGTCCCGCTTGTCAGGGGGACAGCAAAACAAAACAAAACGAAAACAACAAAAAAAAAAAGCTCTGTTGCTCAAAAAACAGAGAATAGAATGAAGCAATTACACATATCTAAGACGAAAAAACTGGTCATCATGTCACGGCTGGACCTGCCCCAGCACCACACATCCCGCCGGGACGATGTCCACGCCTCCCCCAGTCCGATCCCAGAATCTTTTGCTTCGAGGAGAGAGCCATGCCTGCAGACTTCCAGGCCAGCGGCCGTGCTCTCCTGTGCGGGCTCAGACGGTCCTACCAGATGTATCCTCCGTCGTCTGCCTCGCCCTCCTCCTCTTCCTCCTCCTCCGCCTCCTCCCCGGTCTCCTCCGCCTCCTTTTCCTCCTCGTCCTCCCATCCCACGCCGCTGCCAAAGTCTCCAGAGTATCCCGCCACTTCATCTAGAGAAGGGATAAACATATACGTCTACTGGTCGCAGAATCACTCGTCGGTATCGGTTCTCTAATCGTGTAACACACAAATTCCTTTCTTGATAAGATCAATGACAAAAATAACAGTTTGTGTTTCTGATTATGAAACCTACAGAGCTACAGGAACGGGTGCAGATATGATTTCAAGTCAACAAATGGCACCGAGAAGCCTTTAAAATGAGCTTAAACATCAAAAATATTTTTAAAAGATATTCTCTGATTCTGACTGCATCTATACATTTTACTTGGGTCTTACATCCTTCAGGATCCAAATCAGGTGTTAATGGATCCTTAAGGATATCTGGAGCTCCCAACTAGTCAGAGCTGATGAAGCCTCTTGGATGAGACGCAGAACGTCTTCAAGGAGCTCATGCAGGTCCAGTTGCTACGATTAAACTACCAGAATTTTACTTAGGAAGGTCCTGAGTAAACGTCTTACTGAGGTGATTGATAACCTTTGTTATGTTATTTGACCAGTTTGTGTATTTTGTGAACATTCTTAATTGTCTTTGCAGGTTAATTCAGGATTAATAAAGTTTCATCTCAGCATTCACGTCCTTGTCTGTTACCCATTCGGTGTGAACTGTTTCTGGGATATACTTACTTCCTGGATGCTACCAAAAGCTGTCATTCAGTGGAATTCATGCATTCTTGTAGCACAGCTACAGCTGCTCTCCATTTACTTCTCCTCGTACCAAACCATGTGTCTGATGAAGGTCGAGCACCAAAAGCATCAACAGTTACTGTCATCCTGCACATCAGACAGTGTGTGGGTCTGTTTTTGGAAACGCTCGCCCGTCGCCCGTCTCTTAAAATGCAAAGAGTTTCTCTGTCTTGTGTTTTGAGATTTAAAACGTTAGGCAGGTCAGCGCACTGAGCAATTACCCCTAACTTAACCCTCTGAACCCTAAAGCCCACCGGTGGCTCTGAGGGTGTTTTATTCTTTAAAAAAACACCAAAATTACAGCCAGAGAAGGACATGATAAAAACAGAAAGGATCGCCAGAATGCTGTAGTTCTCCACAAAACCAAACAAATGTAAAGCTACATCTACATCTCATTAAAGCAAAATTAAAAGTAACGTGTCTGCTCTAACCAGATTCGGGTCAATCAGGAAGCAATTAGTGACTCAAACATTCAGGGATTTTCAGCTGAACTGCAGGCAGTGTTTGCTCAGAGCACAGAGGAGACGGAAACACATGAAAAACGTAAATATCCAAACCAGCCACTGCTTTCCAGCGTTGGTACCAGATCCAGGCACTCGGCAGAATGTTGCACACGTTGATACCAGGTTGTTTTTATAATTTTTGGAAAATAGATAAACAAAGTAAGTAAGCTTTTGGTAGATTTCTAAATGAATTGTGGCGTCATAGCTCTGCTGTACTGCACAAAAAGACTGTTGTGCTGTTTCCAGAGAGACGCAGGACTTTGTATTGCAGCAAAAAATCTTCTCAATGTGACTAAATGTGAAAAAAAAAAACCTGGACATCCCTACTTCCATCCCATCACGTTCACTCATTCACACCTACTGATAGCCAGACTGATTATTATTTGCTTTGGTTGTAACAAACATCCGTATTTTGAGTTCAATCTGCCGTATTTTTTACAACCCACGAGCCAGGTTATGACAAGAAGCAACAACTTGATCAGAGGCAGATTTTCCTGCAGTGAGAAGTGTTTGTTTTGCCTCCTACCGCAGTCGGGGTTGCCATGGATCCTGGTGCCCATCATCTCTCCGCCGTGCTGGTCGACGCACCAGCACTCCCCTCGGCTCTGGTCGCACTGCACTTTCCTGTAGTAGCCGTCCTCGTCGCAGCTGGGAATGTACATCCCTGCAAAGACGCGTGCACACGCCGGCTTCTTGAATATTTACACCCTGGTACAGTAGCAGCCTCATGCTGATGCCTGAGATGAGTGCAGCAAACAAGGATGCCAGCACGCCTTGGTGAACCTGTGACAAGACTATCAGTCTGGATAGAGAGGCAGCTTCGTTTTTTTGTTGCCAGCGAATACCATGGAGACAGAGGAAGCATCTCCCCTGTTTGTTTTACACAGCCATGCATATGCTGGCGGATGGGATTTTGTTTTTTCTCTCTTTTTTTTTTTTCATACAGTATGTTGGAGTGGCATGTAAAAAATGTAGTGACAGCCTCCGTGACAGAGCTCCACTGTTCCAGCCTCCCCCAGGACACTCTTGTCAAACCCGAAAGCGAAGTTCTCTAACAAGCACCACCTCCTCCACCAGCCCCAGAAAACAAGAGGAAAACACAAGAAGTGAGACGAGTGGGCTTCGGGGACGGGCAGGAACAGATCTGTGGGTTTGGAGCTGCAGACAGGAAAGCAGCTGTGCGGTGTGCTGAGCATGCTGGGTAGCTGCTGCTGCTGCTGTGGCGGCGGCGTGGGGGTGTCTGGCGGTGCCAAACGGCTGTGTTAGCCTTGCTCTTTCCCAAAGCCTGCGCTGCCCTCTAATCCCCCCGCCCCCCTCGCCTGATTAGGCCCTAATCCTGGCCGTGTGCTTGTGATCTCTTTAATGAGCCTCCTCCAGCTTCTCGCCTGCTGCTCCGGGCGCTTTTGTTATATAAGTTCACCCAGAGACCCCTGAGCGAGCGTGAGGGCAAACAGCAGCCAGGCGGGTGCGCTTCGTGGCTAATTGTGTTGCTTTTGAATGCATCTGAGGTGAGCGAGTGACAAAAAAAAAAAAAGGTGTCTTGTATGCAGCTTGTAATTTACATTCAACCTGACAGGACTGTAAGGAAAGTGTTTTTTTTTTACCAGGCTTCTTCTTGGCCGCCTCTTGCACTTGGATCCTCTCCAGCTCAGCCAGGCACGGCGGCTCTGCGAGGAGTCACACAAGAAAAGTGATGACAGACAAATACCCCAAAACTGCTCTGCTCAAACTTTATCTCAATCAATGCTCTTCATAATTACACTTTTTTTCTTTTTGTGCGTGGCGCGAGCACATCGATTTGTTTAAGACGTCTTATATTTCATTCCCTGGAGCACGATCGATGGCGGGGAGCTGAGGTGAAAGAACATATGGATGCAGCCGGAGAGCGACAGGGAAATGAGCTGCACCTCCAGAACAGATAGAAATAGAAACAAAGCAGAGAAAGGCACTTTGTATTGACCCCAAAGGCAGTAAAGCTTTCCCAGCGTGTGTGTGGATCCTCACAGAAATGCATCTGTGCAGCTGTGCAGCGTTTCTGTCGGCTTTGCTTCGCC